CAAGTCGATTTTCTTAGTGCTTATTCACTGGATCAGATTTGTTATAGTAAGGCTGAGTGTCTGTCTGTCTGTCTGTCTGTCTGTCTGTCTGTCTGTCTGTCTGTCTGTCTGTCTGTCTGTCTGTCTGTCTGTCTGTCTGTCTGTCTCTGTGTGTGTCTGTGTGTGTCTGTGTGTGTCTGTGTGTGTCTGTGTGTGTCTGTGTGTGTCTGTGTGTCGGTGTGTCATTCTGTCTGTCTGTCTGTCTGTCTGTCTGTCTGTCTGTCTGTCTGTCTGTCTGTCTGTCTGTCTGTCTGTCTGTCTGTCTGTCTGTCTGTCTGTCTGTCTGTCTGTCTGTCTGTCTGTCTGTCTTGTCTGTCTGTCTGTCTGTGTGTGTCTGTCTGTCTGTCTGTCTGTCTGTCTGTCCTGTCTGTCTGTCTGTCTGTCTGTGTGGTGTCTGTCTGTCTGTCTGTCTGTCTGTCTGTCTGTCTGTCTGTCTGTCTGTCTGTCTGTCTGTCTGTCTGTCTGTCTGTCTGTCTGTCTGTACGCATGTATGTATATATGTACGTATGCATGTTTGTATGTATGTATGTATGAAACATTAAATTATTCTCATTTTAAATGTGATGTTGCTCTTTCTCTCTGTCTCTCTCTGTCTCTCTCTTTCTCTGTGTCTTTCTCTCTGTCTTTCTCTCTGTCTTTCTCTGTTTCTTTGCCTCTCTATCTCTATGTCTCTCTCTGTCTCTGCCCCTGTCTGTGTCTTTATCTTCTCTCGCTGTGTCTCTATGTCTCTCTCCTACTCTCTCTCTCTCTCTCTCTCTGTGTGTGTGTGTGTGTGTGTGTGTGTGTGTGTCTGTCTCTTCCGCCACACCATAAGAGTGGTCAATACAGACAGTTTTTGACAGTTTCTCTCTCCGTGGCTGTCTTTAGAAGACAGAAGGAAAATAATCATGTCAGAAATTAAATGTTTCCATACTATGCTATGTAATTAGGTAAGATTGACTTAAGAAACAATTATATCAGGAAGATAATCGACATAAAACCGGTACTTTACTTTATCGACAGACAACAGATCAAATAGTGTGAAAAGGTAACACGATTGGTATCAGGCAGGGCACCACAAACAGCAATGTTATACTGATACAGCGATAACAGATCTAGAGGTCGACCACGCAGATCATAGACCACTGAAGTATCAGAGACATTGAAATATATTATATACCAAAGTGGACAGAATGGCCGTTTCAAGAGATCTCTTGCTTGTCTGACGCTGCGATGCATGCCAGGAGTAGAGGAAACAAGAAGAAGAAAATCTCTTTGTAGTGTTAAGTTTGCTCAAACAGATGAATCATCATCACTATTTTCAGCTCCATGTCCTGCTGTTTTCGTTTATGCATCAAAAAATCTACTGCCCCTTCCCTTCTATCCAGTTGAGTATTTTTGAACCCAACAAGGCACTACTCAGTAAACAAATTAAGAAGAATTTGTAAGCAACAGAGATGTGGTTTCTGAGACGAATGTTACGAATACCTTGGACTGCCAGAGTAACTAACAACTATTGCTTGAAAGAAGCTAATAAAAGTAGATCGCTATATACAACAATAAGAAAGAGACAAACACTGTTCTTTGGCCACATAATGAAAAGAGAGACAATGGAGAACATCGTGACAACTGGAAAGATCAGTGACAAAATGGGTATAGGCAGAGCAAGAGAGATGATGTTGGCTGAAACGATGGCAAAGAGGGATATCAGGTTACAGACAACCAGTGATCATGATCTATGGAGACGCATGAGCGCCTACGCCAGTTGGCAGGGCACATGATAATGATAACGAAGAAGGCACCACTCACTCCTCTTATTAGTGTTCGTTTTAGAGTTTTTCTTGTATAGGTAAAGATGATTAAAAAGTAAAGGACCTTTTTCACGCCTTCAGACTTATTGGGCATATCGCACTAGACCCATATTTTGTAGACCAATCGGCACTCGGTGGGTAAGTAAAGATGATTAGCAGTTATAAAACTAAATCTTCACCATCTGAATGTTGTTCAATGTTTTAACCATCAGCACATCAAATCATTTCTGAAATCCTGGCGAGTCGAGGAAGACACGTTTGTGGACAGCACACCTTATGGGAAGAAAAAGTTCACCAATATCATTGCCACCTTGGATCCCTCAAAGCCAAATAAAATTGTATTGGCTTGTCACTACGACTCCAAAAATTTCTCAAATTATTTGTAAGTGTTTCTTATATCTGTGTTTATTTACTTAAATGTATCCGTGTATTAGTTAATGAATCATGCAAGTATGTACTGGCTTGTCCTCTCTTCTACAGCATTCCGAGTTCCTGAGGTTTATTGCTAAAGAAATCATCTGACTGTATGTATATTTCTTATTTTTCTCTTCTTTCGGTTTGGTGACTCGAGTGTAGGCTTACCTGAACATTATTTCTCCACCGTCTTACTGGTCCGCCTGCGGTCTGCTTTCATTCCTATTATTATGTGCGCAGGTTCTGTAATCTACCATTCTCTCTACATGTCATAACCATTGCAATCTCTCATGTTAGTTGCATATCCTTTACTGCGTTGCAGCACCAACTCCAGCATTTTTTTGGCTGTTGTGAATTTTCTATCCATATTTTACGTTTAGTAGTTTGCCTTTACTTCCTGAACGACCCGCTCTAGGTACCACTGTTGAAACTTAAGAAAGACAAATCATCCGCAGCTGGGATTGAACCCGGCACTCCGGCATTACAAAGCGCGTTCGCAACGCCTAAGCCACAGACGCCATCCCTCATGATGCTTGAAAAATCTTTCCCAGATGAGATGTAAGTCTGCTTGAATAGTCTGCTCTAGTTTTCTCTGTCTGGTTTATGAATCAGATTTTTTTAAATGGCTGATGGCTTCGTGATTCAAACTACCCTCGGACACGACAAGCAAATTACCGTTTTCACGTCGTTAGGTATAAATACAAGGTCCGAGAATTATGTAAAGAGACTAATTCTATAAAAATTAAAATAATCAACAGTTGAGGATGTAACCTGTATTTTTTTCAAAGTAAGCCCCTTGTGCATTGATACAGTGAGTAGCACGATCTAACAAACACTAGAACGACCTCTGTAGTTATTCTGTTGCTTCGGCCCTTAAAGTCGATGTTACGGCCCTTTGGATGTCATCAATATCGTCAATGAAGCATCCTTTCAAATGTAACTTTAATTTTGGAAATAGAACATAATCACAGGAAGACAAATCTGGGGAATAGGGTGGATGGTTAAGAACATACACCTGTTTTGGGAGCCAAAAACGCCTGTTTTGATGACATCTCTGGGTCATCCCGCTGTGATCCTGCCGTACAAATCTGCAAGCAACTTTTTTCTTGCCAAATCTTGCACAAAATGTTATGAATGGTCGATCATTCTTGTATCTGTTCTGTTCGACTTTTGCATTAAGTTCATTTTTAAAAACACAAATTAGACGCCCAGGTCTAGTTGCATTAGTAATCATTCTCACACCACTTTTGAATCGTAAAAACCAGATGAAAATCTGTGCACCAGATAAACAATTATCCCCCATAAACTTGTCGCCTCAATTCAACTGTCTCAATGGAGCTTTTTCCGAGTTTTAAACATAATTTAATGTTAGCTTTTTACTCCATGCTGATTTCGTAACAATGCACATCTAACTAGGTCAATAAAATGACGGCTTGTTTGTCGTCTGTTTATCAGGCGGCGATGCAAAGTTGCCAGATCAAAGATGAAGGCTACCTCTTTGGATTCCATGCTTTTCTTCATAGATGGCACCTTTGTCTTGGCCGTAATAAAATCAGGCTCATTACTTAATTGTCGGACCTTGTTCGTACATGCCCCAGACTTTTAGGCGTATTAGAAGTCAATTGTTGGTGTGCCAGCTGTAATTCCCAGCAAATTTTCTTGTACCCATATCTGGATTTACATAATTTTCTATTTTTTTAATATCCTCAAATTCCCGCTCTGACGAAGACTCAAAAACATCATCCTGTGACGGTAAACAAAAATTTGCTAGTATGAGATACACATATAATTATCGTCTTTATGATGTATCGATTATACATTAAAAAAATGATTAGCAGTCAATAACTGCAGTCCGTTCTGTCACGCGCAATCCATTTGATCTCGCTTTTGGAATCTAGACTGGCAGTCTGTTCTCACTCATCAACGTTCGGGAGATAATTATTTCATGCCGATTATTTCTAATAAAAGATGTGTTCATATATTTTTAGCACTTGCAATTCTCATGTTCCCTTCTTATCGACAGGAAAGTTTACAATTATGCTTTTCTATTCCACATTGTAGAAGTTAAACCACATTTTTAGGTTTGAGGTTTTGAACAACGGATCAACATCATGGCACACGGGTATAACCCACGAGTGCTCCGTTCTTAATTCTAACTAACGTCTGAGTCCGAAGAAGCTCAGCACAGCGCGCGCGCGCGCACACACACACACACACACACACACACATACACACACACACACACACACACACACACACACACACACACACACACACAAACTCTTCTTCTTCTTCTTCTTTTTCTTTTTCTTCTTTCAGTAGCACCGGCGAGGATCCTGAAATACTGTGGGTAGATTTTTAACTCAAACTTTGCCGGACAGCTTCGTTAGGCTACTCTTTTTGATTTCCAACTACCAAGGGATATTTTACGTGCGCAACAATGCACACGGGCGTCCGATCTCACTACCCAGAGACAGGGGGGAATTATTAGAAGTCCAAGTCCACGTAAAAAAAAATCATAGTCCTTTCAGGAAATTGAACCGGGAACCTCTAGCACTCGAGGCGGACACCAGACTACTCCAAACTTATAGATGCCGCACAAGAATACTGAGTGATTATTTATTTTGTTACAGATTTATTGGCGCTACTGACTCAGCCGTTCCGTGTGGGATTTTGCTGCAGACAAGCAAGCAGTTGCAGTGCTTTCTGGAAAAGAGTCGTGTAAGTGACTTGCGTGATGTATGACACTGTGCAGTCAACCAGTAAAAAATCCCATAGCATGAACATACATAAAGACACAATGAAACACCAGAAGAGGGCACAATATTGCCTAAAAGAGAAAGAAACAGACCAATGAGAACGTTTACAGTACAGGCATCTACCTATCTATCAATACATATGTGTTAAAGAGGGAGTGGAATTGCATATAACATTTTTCAAAAACATTGTCAGAAATTTATTTATTCAATAACGTCGTCCCCATGTGGGACGCAATATAGCCTGAAACCTGAATTCAGTTTCTGGGACCTCTCAATGGGTGATCCTCATCCCTATGGTGGCACTTTGTGTTACCAGGTGTTTATCGCTCTGTGTGATGTCCTGGTGGGGTGAAATTTATTTACTTACTTACTCAGAAATTTCACAAGCTAAGGACTGAAATACATTAAAATACAATCTATAGCAATTAGCGGTCATCTTAAAAACGAGAACCTAACATGCACAAGATCGCGGTTTTCTCTGTAATGGGAATGCATCTGCCTGAGAAGGACCCAACTGTGTACACACAAATAAACCAGACCTGTAAAACATGCATGCACGTCCTGAAACTCACCGCCAAGGTCCAGAAGTAGACGATCTACCATTAGTGTTCGATGGCGTTTACAATGATTGAACACTAAAAAGAAGTAGAAGAAAAGACAGCACAAATGATGTTTCTTCAGCGCCTGTTCATGTAGAATTCTGGGCTTTTACTTGTATGAGCATCAGCATTTAATGAAAACAGCCAACAGAGGACTCCAGCCAGATCCAAAGGATAATCGGACACATCTCCTCAGCAATAGGCCTGAAAGCGTACAACCGACATTCTGCATTGATTAACCTACCTACTTAGTATCAGCCCTGTAGTTTTTAAATATTTTGTCATAACATTCTAATATAGGCATTTCAGAGTCAATGTATATTTGTGTGTGTATATATGTGTGCGTGTGTTGTCTTTGTTTTCTAATGAAGGCTAATCACCGCAACGCCCTTTGTTTGTTCACTGTAAATGATTTTGTAAAGTTGACATAACTATTTGTTTTTTATTTCCTTACCTTTTTTCTTCTTTTGCCTGTAATTCCCTACCCCTTTTTGTTAAAGCTTGCATTGATTAACGAAACGTCTTAGGCCATTACTGAACGGTTCATGTTTGCTAAGTTACAGATTTCAGCCTAATGTACACTAATCTGAACAGGGACCATCATCATCATCAAGGGCCTTGACGACTGGCGTGGGCAATCATGCCTCTCCACAATCTGCTATCCGCAGCTGCGTGTACCATTCGTGTATTGACACGACTCCATCCCATGATAAAAGACTGTCAAAAATCTTCTCACGCTGTCTTCCTCTGTCTCTCTTTCCACAAATCTTTCCAGTGGTCACAACATGTTCCAGTTTTCCGCTTCTCATAACATGATCAAAAAAAATGATGAATGTCTCTTTATGATGTTTGTGATAAGTTGTCTTTGAGCACTCGCCTCTTTCAAAACATCTTGGTTGCTCTTATTAGCTGTCCCAGGAAATTTCTAAAACCACATCTTTGAGGCCTTAAGATATTGTTCGGCTTGTTTATTAATTAATTATCCAGGATTCACATCCATATGTTAAAACTGGCTCGATGTAACATGCGAGTATTCTTTTCCTAGCCTCCAATGACATGGATTTATTACACACAATGTTTTTTTTTTATTTTAATAATCGCAGTTTTGGCCTGTCCTACATTGTTCTTTATCTCTGTGATACATCTTCAATCGGATGTTATCAACGTGAACAGGGATACAGCCATGTTTATTATTATTATTTTTTTTTTTTGATTATTATTATCATTTCCAATGTCAGTTTATTTCTGGCAGCCAAATGATTTGACACTACAGCTGATATTCTTCGACGGAGAGGAAGCCTTCGTAGAGTGGACAGGAACTGATTCCCTCTACGGCTCACGCCACCTGGCTGCCCGTTGGTCATCGGAAAGTGATCCCGTTTTTAACAATATGACCCGACTCGATGCCATTGTAAGTCATTTTCTTTGACATTCACGTTTTATAGTTTGTGTGTTTGAATATGTATGAATGTGTATATCTTCTCCTCCTCCTCCTCCTACTTCTTCTTCTTCTTCTTTTTCTTCTTCTTTTTCTTCTTCTTTTTCTTCTTCTTTTTCTTTTTCTTCGTCTTCTTCTTCTTCTTCTTCTTCTTCTTCTTCTTCTTCTTCTTCTTCTTCTTCTTCTTCTTCTTCTTCTTCTTCTTCTTCTTCTTCTTCTTCTTCTTCTTCTTCTTCTTCTTCTTCTTCTTCTTCTTCTTCTTCTTCTTCTTCTTCTTCTTCTTCTTCTTCTTCTTCTTCTTCTTCTTCTTCTTCTTCTTCTTCGCGTTCACCAGCTGTAAATTCTGGTGAAATATTATGGTTGTTTGCCCACTTCTGGACTGCAGTCCTGTTCCAGAACCTAAGTGTTTCATGTGCATCCGTTTGACAGAGCTTACTCATTTGTATGCATTGTATGCAGACTGTGGGCTTCTTTTCTCTCAGGCAGATGCAAACGGCTTCGAATGAAGCTTCCAATTAGTCGGCTGCTACGACATGTCTTTGTTTTCCCTATAATAGGGCCTCTCGTTGTATTTATGGCTCGCTATATAACTGTTTCTTATCGCTTAATATATAAGTCCGTTCCTTTTTAGATATAAAAAACATTTAATAGTTTTTATATATTTAATTATTGATTTTGTTTCTAGTTTTGAATTCCTTTTTTCTAGTGTTGAATTACATATTTTCTAGGGTTGAATAACTTATTTAATCAATTTGGTGTTGCATCTGCAATGAAGGCTGGTTGCAATTAATCTCAATCACTCTCCTCTCGATGTATGTGTTTATGAGTGTGTAGTTGTCTATTTATGATTGTGTGTATGTGTATGCATGTTTTAGTGTGTGCATGTGTTAGTGTGTGTGCGTATGTACATGTGTGGGTGCAATATATATGAGTGTCTGTCGTGATAAACAAGCACATGGGTTATGCATGAGTATGTGTTTGCATGCATGTGTGTATTTATAAGTATTTCTCCGAGCGTTTGAAAAGGTCGAATGTAAGAATGGTCTGCATGCTGAATTTGTAAATCTTGAAAAAAATTTTATAATAATAATAAAGTTGCGTCCTGGTAGAAAGTTCTGGTTATCTGAACATTTCTGGACTTTGATCTTGCGCGCTTACTTGCTTGTTGTACCCCACCAGGACAGCACACAAGCGATAAACACACGGTGTCACAAGTGCCACCATGCAGATGAGGATCACCCGTGGAGAGGTCCCAGAAACCCCTTTCAGCCGTTATGGCCATATTTATGGCCCGGCTATATTCAGGGCCCCGGCAAAATTCAATTTCAAATTCTCTTTCGTTGACCACTTTCAGCTAGGTCCGCTCACATTTCTGCTCACTTTCCTTTCAGCTATATTTGTGGTGACGTTTTCTGGTCATGATCTCATTTGATTTTGGATTGTGTTCAATATTGTTGCTTTCTATTTGTTGTGGTTTCCGCTCTTGCTGTTGCCTTCGTAATTTGGCTGGCCCTGTGCTGTGCTCAAGATGATTGGATGTTGAATCGATTTATTGTGGTATTCCTTGGCTGTTTGACGTAAATTGCCTATCCTAATAAGGACCGGCGGTCGATTGACTTGGGCAGGTACTGATGACAATACTGGTGAGGTCTGGTATTATTTGGTGATTTTCTCGTATCCTTGTTGTAAAGTACTGCTCCTACATAGGGTTTCGGTAATTTGGCCTTGGTTGTGTCGTATCTGGTATTAGTGTTTGGGGTAACGGTGTCGACCTCGTTTGACTTCAAATTTTGGCTGTCGATATGGTTCCTCTGGTGATGACCAAAAAACATCATCATCCTGCAGTTCTGAGTTATAGAAGTTCGGGTCCTCCATCTCCATGATGCGTTGGTTAATTTGGTCAACTGTTGCCAACGGAAACTGTTTCATCAGCGATGTCTGAGTTTTCTTATCTGGTGTTTGATGTGGCTTTTTCTGGGTCTCGGCTCCCTGTATTTGCTGCCTTCTTGTTGCCTCTTTCCGTGCTTTCTCTCTTTCTTCCATCACTCTGTTGGTTGCTTGCAGTTCCTTGTTAAGTCTGTTGTTTTCTTCGTATGCTCTTCGTAACTTTTCCTCTGTTTCAGCCAGTGCCTTCTTGATCATTGCGACTTCTTTCGCGAGAAGTTGTTGGTTATCCCGCAGATCATTGATGCCCGCCTCGTCTTCCCTTGCTTTAGTTGGTTGTTCCTTTTGTGTCTGGATAGTGGCCAGTGCATTCATGATGTCCTCCTTGAATTTCGTCATCTCTGCTGTCATCCGTTTCTGGATGTCAAGAGTCGCCTGCATTATAGCTCTCAGGCCTGTTATTTCATCTCTGTCTTCATCTCGTTGGGTTTTGGATGCGTCTTTCTCGTCTCTGAGAGCTTGGATGTCACTTTTGAGTTGAGCCACCTCGTTGCTCAATTTGGTGGTAATGGCTGCAGTTATGCCTTGGGTTGCTTCGTGTCTTCTGCGGGCCTCATGGTTTGGAATCTTATCCCGTATGGCCGTGGTTGCAATTTCTCTACATTGTTGCAGATAAGGGCACCCTAGGTACCTGGTGCTGTGCTGGCCGTAGCAGTTGGCGCACTTTCTGTTCGTATTGGGTGACTTAAAGTCTGTGTCCAGCTTTGCCAGCGGGCAATTGTTGAAGGCATGGTGTTGTGAACAGTATCGGCATACTTCATGTTCGCTCACACAAGTGGCCCGGGAGTGCCATGCTTTTTGGCAACGAGAGCACTGGATCACCTGTGGCACGTATTGCTCCGGTCTTTGCATTCTTTGATCTAGGTAGATTTTATCCGGGATGTTTCCTCCTTCCGATGTTATCACCGCCACTGGCAATGGATGCCGTTTTGAGCCCAGTCTCTCTGCTTGGTTGATGTTGACATTGGGGTTTTCTTTCCTTATTTGTTGCAGAATTTCTTCGTTGCTCCATTGCAGGTTGACTCTTCGGATCACCCAGCGTCTTACATTCTGGAAGATGGTGGCCGTCACAGTTATCTCCTCGGATAGTCGGAGTTCTTTCTTGCCGTCGTGTTGGATGTCATCCAGCATGTCTGAGGTGCGGTTGGTTCTGTTTAGTGAAGCTATCACTCCTTCTCGAGTTCTCCTAATCTTTGCGACTGCCCTCTTGCCTAACATGATCTCCAGCATATTGATCAATGTTAGCGTTGCCAGTGTAGTGATTGCTGTCCGGCCCGAGCTGGTCTGTCGTAGAAATATTGTGGCAGGAAATTCATAGCTGCCTGTCTTTCGTCGATCTGGAGATCTTTGTGGACTTGGCTGTGTTGGTTCAGGTGACGCTGGGACGTCACTCAGGGCCTCACTGGTAGTAGGGGCGTCTTCCTGTGGTTCGGTAGTAACTGTCTGCGTCTTCCTGGCCTCCGTGTTAGATCGGGTAGATCTGTCAGTGGGTTGTTTCCTCTGTCCGTTGCGCTTTCCGTTAGGTTTGTTTCTCCGAGACATGGTGCTTGCGGAGAAGGCCTCTCGCTCTGGCTAATGCTTTGTATTGTGTTATGTAGGTTTCAGTCTTATCTGATGACAATTGCGGAGAAGTCCTCTCGCTATGCCTATCCTCAAAGGGACCAGCATGTACTGTATTGTGCAGGTATCAATATCTGGTGACTATTGCGGAGAAGTCCTCTCGCTCTGCCTATCCTCCAAGGGACCAGCATATACTGTATTGTGCAGGTATCAATACTATCTGATGATTGGCTGATAAGGTGGAGCCGAAGCTGCTGATGCCCCGGCAAAAGCCTGGGTGGGGCTTCAAATAACAACAACAACAAAATGCATCCCACATGGGGACGACAACATCATGATGATCTTTTTCCCGAACTCGAGTTTTGCGTCTATATCCATTTAGCAGATCTGGTTTATATGCGGCTTGTTGTTGTGGTTACTTTACTCTCAAGCAGATGCACTTCGACTTCGGAGGAAACTTCCAGTTAGCCGCCTTTTACAACATGCTTGCTAAGGGAAATGGATCGGTTATCTCCACAACCCCGATGGGGCCTTGGAACCCACACGGGAAAAGTGAATCTGTTCTTCCCACACCCCCAGTTGGGACCTTAGAACCTAGACGGGGACAGTACATCTGTTCTTCCCACACCCCCACATGGGGCCTTAGAACCTACCCGGGGAGAGTGCATCTGTTCTTCTCACACCACCAGATGGGGCCTCAGAACCTACACGGAGACAGAACATCTGATCTTCCCACACCCCTACACGGGGCCTTAGAACCTACACGGGGACAGTGCCTCTGTTCTTCCCACACCCCCACATGGGGCCTTGGAACCTACCCGGGGACAGTGCATCTGTTCTTCCCACAACCCCACATGGGGCCTTGGAATCTACCCGGGGACGGTGCATCTGTTCTTCCCACACCCCCACATGGGGCCTCGGAACCTACCCGGGGACAGTGCATCTGTTCTTCGTACACACCAACATGGGGTCTCGGAACTTACCCGGGGACAGTGTATCTGTTCTTCCGACACCCCCAGATGGGGCCTTAGAACCTACCTGGGGGCAGTGCATCTGTTCTTCCCTCACCTCCAGTTGGGGCCTCAGAACCTTCACGGAGACAGTGGGAGAGAAGATAATATTTTCAATAATAATCTGTTTTCTTATAATTTTAAATGTTTGATTGGCTGCATTCTTTTTTTTTTTTTCCCAACAGCGAGAATTTATCCTTCTTGATTTGATAGGAACATCTGATACAACCATCCCCCAGCAGTTTAAAAGCACTTCGGAGATCTATCAGGTTTTAGTTAACACGGGTAAATATTCACGATTAATTAGTTGAGTTGAGTTGAGTCAAGAATTGACATCACAGCACTCACTGCATTTCCACGCGTGCTCTATCCTCAACTTCAGCAGCCAGAATACAGTTCCAGTATTAATAGTACTGGTCGTAATCTGGTTTATATGTCCGTCTTGCCTTTTCCTTGAGTTTATGTGAGCCTGCCAGACCCTCTGGTTACACCCAGGTACCTCATTCTCTAAGGCCATAATAGTCTTTTTTCTCTTCTGACTCTCTTGCTTGTTTCCAAAGGGCCCTGGCCACATCTGCCTTGTCATGCATCATTTGACCACCCATTATTGCAGATCCAGCCAATCTCTCTACCTGTTCATTCCCCACCACGCCAGCATATCCTGGAGAAAAGACCTAAAGTATGCTCACTACCTCTGACGTTCCAAATAAAGCTTGCCACTCTGCTCGAAGCATCCCTGTTTCCCATTTCTCTGCTTGCTTTCAGCGCCTGTTACAATTATGACATCTGTATGCATCTTCTGCTCTAGCCACCAAAAAGCTGCGTTTACCGCCTCCACCTACATTCTCACACTAGACGTGGTGGAATCGTATGTTAGGCTGTCCTGCACTAAAGATTCTCCATTGGCTTTCACTACGAATCCCCAGGCGCTTTTTTCCCTTACACGATTAATTAATATAGTTATTTCAATCCAAGCAGTGAAGCATGCTAGACTACATTATTATGACATAACCCTTGACCCATTCAGGTTGTGGAGGCGTATCCATGAAAGCACCAGCACACAAAACCCGCCATCTTTGTCTACCGCTTGTTGAACATGTGTGATTTACTCTTGTCTGTTTCTTATGTTATCACTTCAGGTTGTTGTTTGATCCCATTTTGGATGGGGGAAAAACATACTCACTGTCCTTTAACAAGCAGTCGTAAGTGGCCACCAATTATTTTGCTGAAATCGGATGTATTGGGCCGAAAGGAGCAGATATTGTAGATAAAGTGCAAACCACAGCACAACGTGCCAGCCGTCTTTGTAAGGGCGAACACAGTAGTAGTAGTAGTAGTAGTAGTAGTAGTAGTAGTAGTAGTAGTAGTAGGAGTAGGAGTAGGAGTAGGAGTAGGAGTAGTAGTAGTAGTAGTAGTAGTAGTAGTAGTAGTAGTAGTAGTAGTAGTAGTAGTAGTAGTAGTAGTTTTTGTTATTGTTGTAGAAGTAGTAGTAGTAGTAATTGTAATTGTGGTTGTTATTGTAGTAGTAGTAGTGGTGGTAGTGGTAGTGGTAGTAGTAGTAGTAGTAGTAGTAGTAGTAGTAGTAGTAGTAGTAGTAGTAGTAGTAGTAGTAGTAGTAGTAGTAGTAGTAGTAGTAGTCGTAGTAGTAGTGGTAGTAGTGGTAGTAGTAGCAGTAGTTGTTGTTGTTGTAGAAGTAGTAGTAGTAGTAATTGTGGTTGTTATTGTAGTAGAAGTGGTGGTAGTGGTGGTGTTAGTAGAATCAGTAGCAGCAGCAGCAGCAGTAGTAATAGTAGTAGTAGTTATTGTAGCAGTAGTAGAAGCAGCAATCGAAGTAGCATCAGTAGTAGTAGTAGTAGTATTAGCAGCAGCAGCAGTAGTAGTAGAAGTAGTAGTAGTAGTAGTCGTAGCAAAACCAGTAGTAGTAGTCGTAGAAGCAGCCGCAGTAGTAGTAGAAGTAGTAGAAAGTAGTAGTAGTAGTAGTAGTAGTAGTAGTAGTAGTAGTAGTAGTAGTAGTAGTAGTAGTAGTAGTAGTAGTAGTAGTAGTAGTAGTAGTAGTAGTAGTCGTCGTAGTAGTAGTAGTAGTAGTAGTAGTAGTAGTAGTAGTAGTAGTAGTAGTAGTAGTAGTAGTAATAGAAGTAGTAGTAGTAGTCGTAACAGCACGAGTAGTAGTAGTCGTAGTTGTAGTTGTTGTTGTAGTAGGAGCAGCAGCAGCAGTAGCAGCAGAAACAGCAGCAGCAGTAGTAGTAGAAGTAGAAATAGAAGTAGAAGTAGTAGAAGAAGCAGCAGTAGTAGTAGAAGTAGAAGTAGTAGAAGAAGCAGCAGCAGTAGTAGTAGAAGTAGTAGCAGTAGTCGTAGCAGCACCAGTAGTAGTAGTCGTAGTTGTAGTTGTAGTAGCAGCAGCAGTAGCAGTAGCAACAGAAACAGCAGTAGCAGTAGTAGTAGAAGTAGAAGTAGTAGTAGTAGTAGCAGCAGCAGCAGCAGCAGTAGTAGTATTAGTAGTAGTGGTAGTAGAAGTTCGTCCATCCATCTTTGCCTTCTTCTTCTTACTCTCAAATCAAATCTGTTTATAGCACCTGGGTTGTTAGCGGCGAATGCCTTCCAGGGAGGTGACTAAATCCGTTCAATGGTCTAATTGTCATGGATTAATCTGGTGCACACTTTTGTTCCTACAATCTGTCTGATAGAACCACCCCTCTCCCTCTCTCTCCCTCTTTCTCTCTCCCTCCCCCCCCTCTCTCTCTCTCTCTCTCTTGTTGTACCTCACCAGGACATCACACAAGCCATAATCACCCAGTTACACAAAGTGCCACCATGCGGACGAGGATCACCCGTGGAGAGATCCCAGAACCCCTTTCAACCGTTAGGCCAAATTCAGGGCCCCTGCAAAAGACAGGGTGGGGCTTCAAATAACGAAACTTTGCATCCCACATGGGGACAACTATAAAGTAAAATACACATTTTCACTAATTTATGGATTTTTGAGTTGGTGGCTTTCTTCAGGCATCTGACCTCACAGTTGTTAGCTTAACGTTTTTAAGCTTTTGGTAATATCCAAGTTCGTCATTAATAACACAGCAGTGGTATGAAAATTATGTTTATAATCTGTTTCTCAAATGTCAAACACACGTTTGGATGTTTTTAATATATTGCATTTGCGTTACTAGTCATCCCCTTGTGGGATGCAATTTTTTGTTACTTTGAAGCCACACTCTGGATATTGCCAGGGGCCGCAATGTAGCCCGGTCTAATGGCTGAAGGCGGTTTCGTGGACCTCTCCACGAGTGATCCTCATCCACATGGTCGCACTTTGTGTCATCGGTTGCTTATTGCTATGTGTGATATCCCGGTGGGGTAAAATCTACTACAACTACTAAAGGTATCACAAACGTGACGCTTAAAGCGACTTCTAATTGTGTTTACCGAGAGTTAAATCCCTTCTCTAATTTTAAATCTTGGACTGCATATAGTTTAATTGGCCTCTTAGTTTTAGGTATAAACACAGTGCCTTTTTTCCTCAGTTTCTGAAGCCAAAATGAATGAACTTTCTCTAATGCCTGAAAAAGATATGGTGGATTATATGAAGTGTATTAACCCAAACTATGCTTCTAAATCTAGTCGTGGTTAGATTTGCTGCTAGATACCGCTTGTTGATCTGAAAGTCAAAGGGTTCGAATCCGCATCGAGACGGATTTTTCCACTTTCAGAATATGCACTGGATGCTAGGTCAACCACGCCTAAATAGGGTGTCAGATTCCCAGCGGGGGAAAAGGTAACGCGCATCGATATAACCGAACGTTTCGGCAATATACTAGATCAACAGAACGCAAATAATAGAAAAACCAAATCAATTCAAGACCGCTTTGGAGAATTACAATAGGAAGAAAAAATTATTTTTAACATTAAGGAATTTGATTCATCAAAATTTCAACTAATCATTACCAATTTCAGAGCGGCTTCTGAGAACGAAAGGTTACCTAACAGGCAACCATACAGGCCCTATCTTCAGTGGTAACGAAAATTATGGTGGCATCGAAGATGATCACGTGCCATTTCTACAGAGAGGTCAGATTGTAATGCAGTTTGAATAAGTTTAATGTGCTCAGTTTGTTCTGAAGTTTTGTAAACATAATTAGTCACTTTGAGATTTTAATGGACGAAAGAACGAAGCGACAGTGACATTCATAATCTGTTTAAATTACTAAAGATTACTGGCATCATCAGAGCTACTGTGCTACAATGTTTGGAGTTTTTATCGAGAAGTTCGTTTAAACACAGAGACAAAAACTGCATACACCAAAAAGTCGAAAGTGAGTTGAGACGACCCGACCAGAAAAGTCGGTGGATAGAGAAGATACAGACAGGCCTACGGGCACTTAAAGTCGTGGGTATGGAGCTGAACTTTAAAAAAAAAATTTGGCCCGCAGGTAGACCCAGCCTTGAGAGGGTACCAAGTGCAGTCCTGGGAAGTAAATGTGGCCGGCGTGATGCTGACCACGTCATCCACCAAGTGCCCATTGGTCTATAAAATATAGATCTAGCCCTATATGCCCAACATGCCTCAAGGCATGGACAAGGGTCCTTTACTACTTTACTTTTACTACAAGCTCTTCGAGTCAACCTCTGGAAATGGGAGGCCAATCACAGAGATGAATAGAAACGGTAATATCTGCAGATTGAACCTCAAGAGCTTGGAATGTTCAAGAAGAAAAGAGCGATTCGGTTTGCAATGCTCTAATATTTCATTATAACATGAAATCCATCATCTTTTTATTCACAGAAACTTTTAGCATACTTTAACTGCAGTTATATTACTATGTAAATCGATGGTAGGCTTCCTTACTATTAGGCTCGAAAGTCAAACAGTTTATATTCATACGACAATTTGAGTTTGTGGAATATTACTCAGCTGCATCTACCACGGCAAGACAATACCAGAATAGGGTAACTGAGGGTAAATGTAATTTGGGATTCATAATATACCGTGGAAAGTAAAATGTGTATATGAAACATGTAAAAACTTTTTCCGAACAAATAGATACTGAAAATACCACTCGTGGCTTGTCTATTCCTGACATAGTTGTTCGGAGATGAGCAATTAGCCATGACCAAAGAGATCTGTCTGCTATCTGTCTCTTCTCTCTCTCTCCCTCTCTCTCTCTCTCTCTCTCTCTCTCTCTCTCTCTCTCTCTCTCTCTCTCTCTAAAGTGTGTCTCTTTCCATTGATTTCATTGTATGTTTGTGTGTGTGCATGTGTGTGTGTGTGTGTTGAGGAAGGGAGAGAGAAGAGAGAGAGAGAGAGAGAGAGAGAGAGAGAGAGAGAGAGAGAGAGAGTAAGAATCCGTCTCATAACCTGCCCAGTTCCTTGTATCTACATTCATATATGTTATTTCCTTTGACAGGTGTGGACATAGTTCACCTAATATCCTCCCCGTATCCCAGTGTCTGGCACGATCCAACTGACGACTGGGCTCACTTGGACTTCGACTTGATCGATGACTTCTGTCGGATTTTTCGAGTATTTATCGCTACCTTGATGCAGATACAGCCAGATACTACTAGCTGCAGTACAAAGTAAACTGCCTTTGAACCTCGATTTGTGTCCAGTGTTTTCTTGGTTAACTCTTGCAGTCCCTAAAAATATAGCTGCCGAAGCTCATAAGAAGGAAAGGATTCGGGAGAGTTAGGTGAAGCACGTCCGACTTTAGCTATCAATAGTCCAAACAGCTCGACGGGAATTCCCGTTTTTCTGAAACCCTGAAAGGCCGCTCTGTGTTCACAATTTTTATCAAGTATATTTATATATAGATTAAACTACAGTTTCATTAATTTGCGATATATTTTATCAAATTATATATCATTTTAAAGGAGAAGGCGGTGTGTGAAGTAACAGTACACTGGCGTCTTGGGTATATAATGCTAGACCAGGGGTGCCGACACAAAGTAAACATGGGGGAATTGCAGTCCCGGTTGGGTAGGGGGAGACGGGTGCTGGGTTGAGGGGCGGGCTCATCTCCCTCTTTCCCCAACCAGTTATGCAGCTCTTTGTGTTTTCTTAGCAATACGAACTCAATGTATCCACCTTAGCTTCTGCTGTGGAAACTGTACTCTCCGTCGTCGTTGTCTCCAGACCACCATGACGCTTGACACCTCCAAAATATCTCAGACATCAAATCAGAAATGCTGAAATATGGAGGACAAATAAAACAGTTATGAATAATCTACGTTCATTAAATGGCGACTGAGACGAACGTAAGAAGTTAAATGACAGGCGCACTAATGTGAAAACTGTGCAGAAAGAACTAACAAATTCTAAAAAATCATGGGATGAGGAAGTTTTAGTTCAACAGTGATCCGAGGAACCATGATACAAACAAGAATAAAAACAAATCCAGGTTCAAGTTCATCCTTTAAAAAAAAAAAAATTAGAGATTAATTAGGGACCGGAACTTATAGGCTTAATCACCTTAAATGCACCCCCTCCCCCTTTCAGCCCCTTTTTCCTCCCCAAAATGTGTAAGGTGATTAATTCTATGGAATCCCACAAAAAAAATTAGTAAAGGCAAATATACAGCTATGAAATGTCGAGTTCCTCATTAGAGAAAACTAACACACATTTGGCATTAAAACAGGTGTGCGACAGAAATATCTTTTGTCGCTTCTCCAGTGTTTCTGTCAATAGCCTGGATTATAAAGACACCAACTGCTAACACCAGGAATGGAATTTAGTGGACCCCTAAAAAAACAGCTTGATGATCTGGACCTCGCTGATAATATTTCTCTTCTCTCCAACTTACAGATACATGATAAATTAAATACAGGTATGAATATCCATAAGGGTCAGAAAAAGATAATGAAAATAAATCAAGCAAATAGTAATGTGGTTTCTCTTGATGGCACCCCAAGACGTTGAGTCGTACACCAATTTGGGCAGTAACGTAGATAAATAGGGAAACTGATACATATACTAAAATATGAATACAGAAGGCACGAGGAGCTTTCAGAGCAAGAGGGCATTTGTAGAGGTCTACAGAAATTAAAACTAATACTAAACTTAACATTTGTTATTCTAATGTCAAATCAGTTCTGTTGTATTGAGCGAAAACAAGGAGAAAAAACTAAGGCAGCTACTAATAAACTACAAACAGGCATTAACCTCTGCAGAATAGAGGGAATTAAATGGTATGATAGAATCACTAATGCAGAGCTTTGGGAGGAGAACTAAACATGTTCCAGTGGACTATGAGGTGAAGAAAAGACGCTGTCGCTGGGTAAGACAAACGTTCAGAAAACCTGAGAACAAAATAACTAAAATGTCTTTGCACTGGAACCCACAGGAGCAAAGAAATAAAGAAAGACCCCAAAAACACACGGAGAAGAAAGCTAGAGAGTGACGTTAAAAAGATGGGGAGGATATCAGGAAATCTGCATGCAATAGCAAATGATAGATGTGACCTGATTTGGGGCCTATGCTCCATTGAGGGCTAGAATTGCAGAATACGAAGAAAAGACGATGAAGCTAATCTTAGATCTGAACAGCTGGCTCCTGATATCACTACCAATGCGGTCTGCTGTCAAATCACCTGCAGCTGAGAGTGAAACCGGCACCCTGGGATTACAAATGCGCGTTCGCAACGCCTAAGCCACAGGCCCCGACTTCCAGCATTTACATCTCGAAAAATAAAAATGGTCAGCAATGGTCCATTTACACTCTCTCTTCGAGCGGAAGTGCACATCGATATGAAAATATGCACCAACTAGCATCTCTTTAGTTTTTTTTTTTTTTTTTAATGATATGTGTGGTCAAGCAGAGATAGCACACTGCAATCTATTGTAAGGTAAGCCCGTAACTAAATCTTTTTCTTTTGTCTTCACCGTCTGTAAGCTCTGGCGGGAAGTCTTGGCTGTTCGTCCATTTGGACTTCGGTTTTGTGACAGCGTCTGAGTTTTGCGTGTAGGTCCGTTTTACTTGGTTTGTGTGTGTGTGTGTGTGTGTGCAGTAGGTTGTTCCTTGCCGCTAGGACAGATGCACTCATACTTCAGTGGAAGCCCGTTACGACATGCTTGCTGGGGAGGCAGTAGATCTAATCTTGTTTCCCCCTCAGTGGAGCCCCGTAATCCACACGGGGATGCAATTAAATAACTCTTTAGAGTGTTGTCTGTGCTCGAAATGAAATGAACTCTCCTGCTGTCAGTTGATATCTATGCCTCTGGTAGAAGTAGACTCATCTTTATCATGTACAGCGACGATACGCATAGACTGTCATGTTTCGCTATGTCACACGATCACCAAAATACCGGATCAGGTAGCTATTCTTGTTGCCCCATATATATGGCCAAGCCATGCGGGGATTATCGCTTTGCCTTCATCTTGCTCTCCTTCCATCGATCTTGCCAGTCGTTACCGAGTTCTTGAGTCTTCGGTGCTTTATTAATATCCTACCCCAAACGGGAAATCCACAGGTCACTGGACAGTCTAATATTTCAGGGGGTTGTAGATAGGCTGCATGCAGTGTGGGACCTAGGCTGCACTCTCTCGTGAGACGTAACTGTGTTGGGGTTAGGGCCAGTTCTAGATGTTACAGGGTCGTTAAAAGCATCAGAAAGCCGGAAAACCACCCTCTTTAATGTTGGACTCTCCTGAGACGTCATCTGGGGGTAGGATATATTATATATATATATAAAGAACCGAGTCCGCTGCTTCTTATTATATCATGTCCGTAAAACATCCCATCTCTACGTCTACTAGTTCTACCCTGTATGCAAAGACTGGTCTCGGCGGACTGTGCGGATGAAAGCTCTTTATTGGTTCAACGGACAAGAAGGCAATTACCAGCAGGCTCTGTAGAGAGCTGCGAGCAAGGCTGGGCACTTAAGACGCGTTGGTCAACAACTGCACCTAGGTCCATTTCCAATCATCTCGACATTGTCCTGCCATTGGACCAAGATGGACCCAGGCGAGAGAGTGAGGTCGACGAATTGCGCAATTCTTCCTCACTGAAATCCAAGTCCTTGGGAAAGTCATTTTCATCCAGCTACTACTTTGAATGAAAGTGGTCTTCAACACTCGTGATGGATCAACAACAACTTGTTCTAACAAAAAAGAAGTTACGACTTTCATGTGTCCCAAGAAGAAATGTAGGAGTTTGTGTTTCTAAAATTGGATGATATTCTTTTCATTCCTCTTTAGAAAAACAATATAGATTTCCATTGCAAGTAAATGTTTTCAGCTTCCCCACTTATTTCCAATGCCTTACGTACATATAACAATACAGGTTCTACATAAACCTTAACATTCTTTTTCTCATTGCAATTGAACTCCTTCTTTGAGCAAGTTTCATTTGCATCTTATTTAAGACCACGTGCAGATTAATATTTTTGGCTTCTTGAAGAATATATCGTTGACCATTGCTTTCCTTCTTGTATGATGTTTCACCTACCATAGGCGCACTTGAGACCATGACCAACAATCATATCTCGGCTGCACTGAAGCTCCATCCACTACCCACAACTTTGGTTCCATATAACCCTGATAGGGTGGGGGGTCGGGAGAGAATTAAGAGGTACTTCCCCTTGCACAAAGTGCCCCATAGGCTAGCTGAAGAAATGAGGAGCTTTAGAAGTAAAATCAATATTTTGAAGAAAAAAGAATAATACGAATGCTCAAACATGCTTTCAATGATATTAATATCGAATATTGATCGTGACCACTTCACATATGACTGGTGTTTCAAGTATGGACATTCCATGCCCGAGGCGTCAGTAGTGTGAAAATTCCTTTACCCCTTTTTTTAAACACGCATTTCGCCCTTGCATAGCACATATTAGATTAACAAAGTGTGCAAGATCTATTTCGAGCTAATAATTCATATAGTGTGTTGGGGAAAACGACCCTTTGTGTGTGTGTGTGTGTGTGTGTGTGTGCTTGGGGAAAGGGAGAGGGGGCAGTCGGCAATGGCGCCCAGAAGAGTTATATGGAAATACAAAATGTTGCAAACTTAACATATCTATGGTTCGTCGGTTTGTACTCTTCTTTAAAACAAGGCAGACGTAGCACCACACGATCTGTGGATTTACAATAAATTTAATCCACTGCAATGCATGTATTGGTTTGCTTTTTATTGCCAGTCCTCGCTTGGATTAGTTTAATAGTTCTATTCGGTGTCTTGTATAAAAGTGTTTGTTTCTACTGTATTCTTTATCTTCGTATTCAAGTTATTACAGTTGTTACGTGTATGTACATGAGTGTACACATGTCTTTGTGTTTTGTTGCCTGAAGAAGGCTTTGTATCCGCAACATTCACTGCAATTGTATAAACATTTAGTTGTTGTTGTTGCTATTATTTTTAGTTGCCTTTTTCCCTCCACGTGCTATTAATCCTTAATTAAATGATTTTCCGCAGAACGCACCGTCTGCTATGCAACCTAGGATAATCTAGGTCGACGGCTGGGTTCCAGCTGTGCGTGTGAACTTTAACCCTGTTCGTAAACTGAGACTGGCCCTCGAATATGAAAGTAGACAGAGAAGGCGAAGAAAGCTGACTGACTTATAGATAAATGAATGCATTGGGACCAGGGATTTCTTTACTTCATATCTAAGTGTGCCAAGGTTGTCTCAAAAGAATAACTATGGCGTCCGAGCGAAGTGTCAGCAAAAAGTTAATCAACAAGGTTTGACTTGAATATAATTAAATTGATTTATTGCAATGCTAAATACCTTTGTATAACAACCAGTGCAAGTACTATAATTATATTACTCCCATAGCTACCATATTTATCTTTATATACCGCTATGATCGCTTCGTCTTCTAAATTAATTATAGCAAAGACATGGAGAATGACTAAACAATTGCTAATCAGATGAAGCATGTGTTAACTTATGTAGGCTATAGACATACCCCTAATATAATTAAGTTGTATAAAGTAATCACTAATATAGATCTTTGGGGATGAATTTAGGACATTTAAGTGAGTCAAGGCAACGCCTACTCTAGCTGGAGGCGGTCTTGATAAAGGCGAGAAAAGAACTAGCTAGGAAAGAACTCGAGTGTCTCATGGGACACGCTGAGAAAAACCTAATAGTATAAAAAGATTGTCCTTGCATTGGAATCCACAGCATCAGTGGAATCAAAGTACACACCATACACAAAGAGAGAGATAGAGAGAGAGTGAGAGAGACAGAGAGAAAATTTGGGATTGAAATGAATGAGATGTGGGGGGGGGGGGGGGGGGGGGCAAGAGGTGAGCTGCACTTTATGGCAAACCATAGGTGGACTTGAAAAAACGAAGTGGAAGGGGCATTTGTTCCATTGGAGGATACAGAACAGCAGCAACAGCACCACCACCCCCACATGAAGAAGAAGAAGAAGAAGAGGACGAAAAAGAAGAAAAATAACAAGAAGAAAAAGAAGAAGTAAAAGAAGAAGATGATAAAGAAGATGATGATGAAGAAGGGGAGGAGGAAGAAGAAGAAAAAGAAGTCTAAATCTAAATCTGTTTAGTTAACAATTTGCAGAAGTCACCTCCTCTTCTTCTGCATTTGTCCTTTAAATAGGACGCATTATGTGGATCCAGCAAGGTTGCTTTGGGTACACTTTGATGTCCAGAACATCCAATTTCTTCTAACATTTAACTAGTCACCTTTTATGACATACTTTTAAGGGGTGGTGGGTCTCTCCTTCGCCTTCGTCATTCAAAATATACAGCCGATGCACAACAGTTAGCCTTTCTCCTCCGCCCGCTTTTCTACTTATTACTGTATTTATTATCTTTGTAAGAATCATATATATATATATTTATACATACATACATAAGTTCATTTTCACATTTCTGTCAGCACTAGGTGTATTGGTATGTATTGGTTCAATTTTCAGCTCTACAGCATCAAATTTGCTAGCCAAATGTACTAATTTCTTGTTTTGAACCTTGAGAAGCCAAAATGAGTCTGGTCTTAACATTGTAAAGATGAAATAGCATCACAAATCTATGGAAAAACTAGCACACACAAAAACAGGAAACATTTTGAGAACACACTCCATTCATGCATTCCAGTAATGAAGAAAATTCGCACAATTACTATAGGAATCAATAAGATAAGTAAAGAGAAGCATCAGTGTAACATACTGATCATGTAGTCAAAAGGCAACCGTAGAGGGTTGCTTAGAGAAAGGCTACCTCCTCCTATAGAATCCTTTAGCTGCACAATCCACTCAAGTCATGAATGAGTCTACAAAGGGCTTCATGTGAGTTAGTGGAGGGTCTAAGCTCCATCAGATGATTCTAGAGATTCCAGAGTTCATACTTTGTACAACACCCTTGGAAGAGGCCATATGCCAGTTTTTTAAAAGTATTGCACTTATAAAATTTCGCATTGGTTGTTTTCCATCTTAAATTTTAAACAAAAATACTAAGGTTTAAAATAATATTTCTTTTTTAGAAACTATCTATGCTATCAGTGCCAAACATGGACAAAACTGACGTTACAATAACTCTTGCAAAATGAGGGCATGAGGGCAGCCTTATATTTAACAAGCCAAGACAGAAAAATAGTACTATTTTACAATAGACTTTGAAAACAACACCCTGTGCCAAATACACATTAAGACACAATACCATCTTGTTTTAATGTTACAGTTCTAATTACCAACACTGGACTATCATCATCATCATGAAGCAGGTCCTTTGCAGAACGTCGCTCTCATCACGGTCCGCCTGAAAGAAACTCGGTCTCTCGCCAGTTCTCTCGCCTCATGTACTTTCATACTCAAGGAGTCACTTATATCCTGTGCCCATCTTTGTGTTTGTCGGCCCCTGCCCCTCCTTCCTGGTACCATGCCTTCTGCTATAATTTTTTCCAATCCGTCGCGGCGCTTGATATGACCAAAATATTGGACTATACACAAACAAAATAGTACATAACCAGAAATGAGACGGACTGATGACACAAAGACATTCTACACTCATACAGATGTCAATAACTAGTACCACTCATTGAGTCCTGAACTGTCAATTTTTCCTCATGATGTTTGAATGCAGAGGTGAAAGATGATCTTTTTCTTCTTCACCATTTTGATGTTCATCGCTGCAGGTAACATCCACCTCTATTCATCTCTCTGGTTGGCTTTCTCATTCAAGCTGGTTACTCAAAGAGTTTATTGGTCTGCCTTTGTATAACCCCTTCCCCCCTTCCCCCCAATCATTTTGGTCTGCCTCATGGTCTATGACCATTCAGCTCTTTTGTGTATGCAGTTTTGTTTTGCTCTGTTATCTGGTATTCTTTCTCATGTTAAATCAGAATGAAAGATGATGGTCTAGACAATTTTAATTTCATAGCTTGATTTTAAAATGCATCATGTTATTTGTAAATATCATAAATACTTTTAAAATATATGTTTGTAAATACAAGCAGACAATTATATCGCCTTAAACACCCAGTGCAGTAAATCAGGAGAAGAAGGGGGAAGAGGAGGAGGAGAACCAGTAGAAGAAATAGAAGAAGACGAAGCAGAAGAAGAAAGAAGAAGAAGACGAAGAAGCAACAGCAGCAGGAGAAGGGGAAGAGGAAGAAGAAGAAGGAGTCCTGGGCTGTTTGTACCACATCTTTAAGATGGAATTGTATTTATGAAAACTGCATGTATGAAATGAAAAAACTGATACAATTTTGGGTCTTCAGGTCGGTGACTGTGAACGTGAATGTTGTGAGGGACTTGTGGCTGTAAACCCAGGACTGAGTCTTGTTGAAGGTTACAACGTTATTGTCCGCACTGATGCCCAAGATTATGTGAGACAGGGAAAGGTTGTGCTGATCAGTGGTGGAGGCTCAGGACATGAACCAGGACATGCAGGTGAGATTATTATGAAATTATTTAACCCGTTGGAAGCTGCTGTGATGTATTGGCAAGACGCTTGCCTGCAGATCCGAAGGTCTGTGTTACTTACTTTACTATAAAATTACCTTGGCTTTCAGGTCAGTCCTGTCTTAAATTAGTAGCAAGTAACGTCCTGTAACGTCCTGAGAAGTAAAGGCAACCGGTTTGATGTTGGCCACATCACTCATCATGTGCCAGTTGGTCTGTAAAATATAGATCTAACCCTGTCTGCCCAATCCCCTGTGTGGGTTCCGGGGCCCCATTGTGGGGAAAACAAGAATAGACCCACTGCCTCCCCAAAAGCATGTCGTAAGAGTCGACTAATTGGGGAGCTTCCTTTGAAGTCGGAGTGCATCTGCCGGAGAGGCAAGGAACCAACAGTCTGTATTCAAGAGAATGAGATCTGTAAAACTGATGCACACGCAACACTCAGGTTCTGGAGCGGGACTGCAGTTCAGTAGTGGACGATCAACCAGAACTTTCCGCCAGAGTGTACAGCTGGTGAACGCGAAGAAGAAGAAGAAGAAGTCTGCCCAATACGCACAAATGCATGGAAATGGGTTCATTGCTTTAAAAAAAAATTATTTAAAAAAAAAACGAACTGTTAGATTAAATAAAGAAGAAGTTTGGGAAAATAATCAGTTTAATCATAAAATATTCCCCTTAGACTTTAAACTAAAATGTGCAGGAAAATATTTACAATCCAGGATTAAACTCAGTCAGTCTATATGTGCTATGCTAAATCATGATCTGGTGGCATTCTAATATCCCACTGGTCTTTGAGAAGGAGAAGTCTACAGCAAAACTTATGTAGAGAACAAACAAACAAACTTTTGTCCAAGGTTTGGCAGAAAGTCTATACTAACCTCACTCTAATAAATTCAAGTTCTTTTTGGAGCTCAGGCACCTGTCTGTCGTTTCACTCTTATTGGTAAGACAACAGAAATTGCCCTGACAAAGCTGAATATAGGTGACTGGAACAAAATCTGTTAAATACAAACAGTTAGAAAGCAATTCAACTTTCTACATACATCTGTGTAATATAATGAAGCTGAAAGAGGAAGAATGTTATTTTAGCTTTATAAAAAAAATATGTGTAACACACTGGCTTAGAGAAAGTGGCTGCAGTTTACCATTTCAGGATCATCAGTGTATCAGGGTTTGATTCCTACAGTGGACAGTTTTTTATTTTGTTTTTAAACTTGTTTTTATGTTATTTGGACAGTGGTTCAAGAGTCACACTGTGGAAGAGACTGAGGCATCATTATGTAACTTTCCTCAAGTCAGCAATTGGTAATCTGTAGTCAACCTTCATTGTGGAGATGGCACACAGTTTAAATTCTGAATCAAATGTAGACTAAAGTGAGCGGTGAGAAGTTATCACTTGATAGTATTAGTGTTTAATCTCAAGTGTGATGCCTCTCCAGGATATGTGGGCAAAGGTGGACTAACTTCATGTGCTTGTGGCTCTGTGTTTACCTCACCACCCCCAGGATGCATCTTGGCTGCAGTGAATGCAGCATGCCAACAACAGAAAGGTTTGTATGTAATTGTTGTCCTTCTTTATATTTGAACTCTGCACTGCAGCTAAAAGCAAGTAAAGAACCTATTTTCAAACCAATGGTGTACAGAATATGTGTTTCTAGCCCCATATTTTGAAACCCATTTTCAGTGAGGTCAGTAATGTAAAACAGATTCTTGCCTTTAAGAGAATTTGAACATCTTCTTCTTCACATTTACTGGCTGTAAACTCCAGTGGAAAGTTCTGGTTCTTCGTCCAATTCTAGAATTTGGTCTTGTTCCAATACTTGAGTGTTGCATGCTCATTCATTTTACAGCTCTGGCTTATTTGTGTGCAGACAGTTGGCTCCTTACCTCTCAGGTAGAAGGGATTTGCACACAGATCTCAAATTCAGAAACAAAGACTAAAGGGCGAGGCCAGTCTGGACGAACAAGCCAGAGTGTACTTACTGGTGAAGGCTAAGTGGAAGCAGAAGATGTTATAAAAGGAAATAGATTCGAGTACTGGCAAAATTCAAGGTAAAAGAGCAAAGTGTTAGCAAAAAGTTAAATATCTGGATGACTTGGCCAAATGGATGCTGGTGAGGCAAGAGCACAGACCTGATCCATGATTCTGGTGATTGTATGAGATGGAACAAACATGACCACCTGCTCATACCTGCAGGGAAGATGATGATCATGATGAATCATGCACCATCACGTGCACAACATTCATAAAAACGTAATCAAATCTCAGCATCAGCAATGTAGCAATCATGGGGATAAACTCATCATGAATATCCTTGGTAAAGCCATTTCACAGAGACTGTCACCTTCCTTATACTTCTTCTCTTCATATGTTTTTTGTACTACCTTGTGTCATGGATTCTTTCTTGTTTGTTTCAGTGTTCCTGTTCAGGTTTTTATTCTGTGCTTCTCAAAGTCCATGCCATTTGGTGTTGGTAGTACTGTCTATTCACATACCCTTGTCTTATGTACTTTCAGTCACCTCTGACACAGATAATCCTCCATGCCATTATGTCAGACTGTCCAGCATCTTTTCTCTTGGTTTGTCTTTGCCACTCTCCCCTTCCAACTTTCCCACTGTCATGATGTACTCCAGTTTTCTTCTTCTAATGACAAAATATGTAGACTGTCTCCTTCTGATGGGCCAGTCAGTTCACTTCATGAGTCAGTTTCTTCCAAGACATCTTCATTACTCATTTTTTATCTCTCCAGGATATTCACATCATTCATTTATAAAACCACACCTCCTCAGCCTCCAAATAATGTTTGAATAATCGATCAACCATGATTCACTTTCATATACCAGGATAGGATTTATATAGCTTTTAAGAATACTCTTTCTTATCTCAGTTGAACCTGATTGTGACCGGTACTATTAGTATTGCAGCTCTGTGATGGCTGCAGAAGATGAGGACGGAGCACACATGGGAATGCCCTGAGTGCTGTGATGTCAGTTCTTGACTCAACATAACTCTCATCTCAGTTAAAAAAGTAAAGAGTTTTTATTATAATAAAGTTATTTATTATTTAAGAGTAACTTTTTTTTGTAACACGAACAAAAGCTTACAATTTTGGTATGTTTCCATTGTATATAGGATGCCAGGTACTCATGATTGTGACTAACTACACCGGTGACCGTCTGAACTTTGGCATAGCTTGTGAGAGAGCGAGACTCAAAGGTCACCAGACAGAGATGGTTGTAGTTGGAGAAGACTGTGCCTTAGATTCTGTGGACCATTCAGCTGGTAGACGAGGCTTAGCTGGCACCATGTTAATTCATAAGGTGATTAATTAACATCTTTTGACAATGTATAACAGTTACGAAGTGTTATCAGTTCAGTTGAACCATTTTACCCTGAGAAGCCAAAAATCTGACACTTCTGATTAGGTTCAATTCCCCATAAATGTCACTTCTGACCTGCCTGTTGTGACCTGTTTTGCGAGATGTATTGTTAATGCAACTGGCTAAATTCACACCTAGCAAACATTCAGGACGGTTACGGCATGAGTCACTCTGTGTGCGTTTTTAAAGGCCCAAGGGGATTTATTCAATTTAATATTTGTGTTTATTGATTACTTCTTTTATATATCTTTATATATTTTGATAAATAATTTTCAGATATTGATAAATACATTTTAAACATATTCATTAGTGACTTGTGTAAAAAAAAAAATTTGTTTTTACATTTTTTCAGGAATCCTAATGGGGTCATAGCCTAATTTGTTTTTTAAGCATTCTTGGAGTGAAAGCATGAAGAAATTGTAATATATTTGTTTATCTTCATTTTGCAACTTTATGTTTTAAATATATAAAGATATATAAAGGGAGTAATAGATAAACACAGAGTGAAGCATTAAATGGAATACATTTAGGCCAGGGGCCTGACAATATATGTATTGGGTGACTCATGCCTTGACCCCCATGATATCGTTCACTCCGGCTAAGGGTAAATTTAATGATAACATGGCTTTAAAATAGTAATTTGATTCACAAGAAAACCTCTTTAAAAGCTGTTTATAGTAAACAAATTTATATCCTGACACCCTAAGTGCTGCAAAGATGCAAACACAGCCAATTGTATTAACTAGGCATCTCCTAAAATCGTCACTGTAGAAATGCTTGTTAATAGGTATTCTCAGTGAATTGAACACTACTGGAAATGCTAAGTTTGCATTTTCCAAGAGTGAAAAGGTTAATTGAGAGTTCTCTGCATTTTAGACTTGGATTACCTGTCTGTTTAGGTTTTCATATACAGTTTAAACAGAAGGATAAGTTATTTCCACACATTTCAACCATATTTTTTTTTAAAAGGGAAAAACACACACACATGACATGCATGCACATACACACACACATGCGCAAACACAGTGATATTTGTGGTTTTTATGAATTTTCCAGGGCTTTTTTTTTTCTAGAACAATTGGCATTTCTCACCATGCAGTGTTTATTACAGTAGCACCTACAATTTTAGTAAATCCTCTTATAACTCTTATCTAAGCTAGGTGCTTCTTACTTTTGGTATCTGCTGCAGAATGATGTCATCATAGCAGCCGTAACTCCACTTATTAGGTAATATTAAACTGAGTTAAGAAGGTCCTATGATCTGATATACAGAAGCACAGTAGTTGTAGTTGTTAAGGAGAGATGATTTGTTGATCAGAGAAAATCCCTATTTATGTTTACTAACAATTAGGTTTAAAGTGTATATTAAGGGAAATAATGCCTGGAAATTCATTTTCTTGCAAATATTCCCGGTAACCAAGCAGTGTTTCTCTTTCATTTAACCCTGTAAATTTTATGTGTTCAATTTGTGTTCCAGATTGCTGGAGCTCTGGCAGAACAAGGGAAGAACTTGGAGTATATAGTGACAGCCTTGAATTCAATTAAAGAAAGAATGGGTACATTCTTCTGACATTTTTTCAGCTAACTGAAAACTGATTTCTAGAATGTACTTGGGGATAACTAATTGAAAACTGATTTCTAGAATGTACTTAGGGATAACTAATTGAAAACGGATTCCTAGAATGTACTTGGGAATAACTAATTGAAAACTGATTTCTAGAATGTACTTGGGGATAACTAATTGAAAACTGATTTCTAGAATGTACATGGGGATAACTAATTGAAAATTGGTTTCTAGAATTTGCTATAGCATAGCATTGTCATCATAATCATCATCATTATTGTTTAGAACCATGATAGAGAATGAGAGAAGGTAAAGAATCATGTGAGCAGGACAGTGTGGGAGCTGCGTCTTGAGTCTGATGTTTTGATGTTCAGGTCATCTAAGCCTTGGAAATGACTCTGTTGAGGTTATGCTGGTGTAGAGACTTTCCTTCAGACCTGCTACTGAAGCAGCTTGCCCAGAGAGCTGTATTGCTAAGCTTCTTTACTGCAAAGCTTCTTACCCTCTCAAAACACAAGAACTAACTCAATATACAGAGTGGATACTTGAGCTTCACATTTGCAGAGAGCTATGTCAGACATTTTAATGTTAGCTAGACTAGGGCAGTCTGTTGATCAGTAGTTTTCAATATTTTTTAAGGTGGCTTCAACCCTCCCCAACTATATGGCAAGGGACCCCCCACCACCAAAAAAAGTGTTTACAAAATGTGATTAAAAAGAGGAGGATGAAAGAAAACATCTCAAGCACTATTATCAAGAACATGGGCGAAAACATCTACATAAAATTTAGTGATTTTTTTTCTCTTCACATTTGGTCTTGGTTGCCAGGTAGATCCTGGAAAGTAAATACCACTGCTATGATGTCGGCCACATCACCCAGCAAGTGCATCTTGGTCTTTAAAAATAAGAGCCTAGCGTCATATGTGCACTGTGCCACTGGTTTTAAAAAGGGTTCTTTATATTACTTTACTAGCACATATATAACTAATAAAGAGACTGAAAAAATGGTGTAGCAAAAACCTGCAAAAAAGAGGACAAATCCATCACATACGCCAACCAAAAAGCTCAAGACAATTACAGAAAACCACGATGCTGGGCTATAAGCTGGTGTTAGTGAGACAAAAGAAGAAGAAGACACAAATATAAGCTAACGAAGGTCATGCAAGTAAACTTGTACGGACTGTTCACGTTATTGTCCTCCTGGTAGGTAATGGTTGACTACATTACCCACAGAGTCCAACATCATATGTGCAAGGCACCACTGTCTTAAAAAGTGTCCTTCGCATTGCTTTACTTACACTTATCTCTGTGTCTTAGGCATTGCAATGGAATTTGTAATGCTGGAGTGCCAGGCTTGATTCTAGCTGCAGCCATTTTGCGGCAGACTGCTTTGTGTTGCTTTCAACAGTGGTATCAAGATGATTCAAAAAAACAAAGGCAAGTTAATGAACACAAATTTGGCTAGAAAAATCTGCAACAGTGAAGAAATGCTGGGGTTGGGTCTGCAATGTCCAGTAAAGTACACACAACTAACTTTGCACTTGAGTTGAGTTGAATCAAGCATTGACATCACAGCACTCAGGGCATTCCCATGCATGCTTCGTCCTCATCTTCAGCAGACAGTGCAGAGTTCCAAACTAATGGTACTGGTCACAATCTGGGTAAATGTCCATCTTGCCTTTCCTCTGAGTGTAGTGAACCAGCCAGACCCTCTGGTTACACCCAGGTGCCTCATTCTCTCCAGGCCATAATAATCTTCTTTCTCTACTGATTCTGTTGCTTGTTCCCAAAGGATCTTGACCACATCTCACCACTTTGCACTTATGTATATCTAAGCTAACTAAGGTCATGTGAGTAAACATGTACAACTGTTTGTGTGGTTGTCCTCCTGACAGGTACCATTGGTTTGTCCCTGTCCCCGTGTTCTGTTCCTGGATCAGGCCCATCCTTCACCCTACAATCAGATGAGATGGAACTAGGACTTGGTGAGTAAGGACTTGTAAACAAAAATGTTCGATGAATCTTGAATCACCATCAGTGTGTTAACTCTTTCAGGCCCATGAATTTTGACAGACTTGGCTCGCATTAATCTTCCTTTGCAAAAAAGAGCATAGGGCGTGGTGTGAAAAAAAAAAACGACTATTGTGGGTGTAAAATATTTCTAATCCCTACAAAAAAAATATATATAAAACCTTTTTTCTCATGTACTTTCAATAGACTCTGACACAGATGACCCTTCTTGTCATGATGTCAGACGGTCCAGCATCTGCCTCTCTTCCCCTCCAGTTTTCCCACATTTACAATGTACTCCAGTTTTCTTCTTCTCATTACGTGTTTAAAGAATGTAAATCCTCTCTTTCTGATGTTGGCAATCAGTTCTCTTTGTGAGTCAGTTTCCTTCAAAATATCTTTATTTTTTTTTCTTCTCTTTCCAAGGTATTCTCATCATTCCTGTATAAAACCACATCTAGGTAGCTTTGAAATATTTTGTTTACTAGTCTGCCAACCATCCACCTAGTAAATATTGTTAAATTCTAGCTTATTCAGTCACAATATAATAAACAAACACAATGAAATGGAACACAATGGAACCTACCAATTAAATCTTCCTTTAATGTTCATTGTATTCTAGACAGAGCATTAGGTCTGCTGTGTTTGTAAATTGTTGCTATTTTTGTTATTCAACCTAAGCTTGGTTAAAATAAATATTCCATAGTTGTGGATTTCAACTGTACAGTATGCATGGCCAAATGATATATTTCAGTACAAAGCAGTTGTTATTAATGTACCTCATTCTTTTATTCAAACCCAAGTGCTTTGGGATGGCAGGCAAATGTCAAGCCACAACATTACATAGGCTCTCTTGAGGGAATTAAATGTTTAATAAAATTCATCTAAAATTTATCCTTCTTATTTTGCTAAGAAGAAATTACCAGATTAAGGTAGTTATCATTTCATGCATGAGCCAGGATTGTTTGAAATTATTTAAACTGAAATACATCTTGCTGTATATAGATTTTATGTAGAAGGATTTTAATATGAACTTTTTCAAGAGGAGTGGAATGATTACAAAGATTGCTTTTTCTCTTTAAATGATTGATTTGACAGGTGTGCATGGAGAAGCAGGTGTACGAAGAATGAAGGTAAGAAATGTCTAAGTGTGATGTGGTAAGTTATGGATGAGTTAATGGTGGGCATGTGGGTTAAAGGCAGGTAGGTTGGTGGAGTTGTGTAGCTAACACAAAAGCAATAATTATGCCAAATTGAATGGGTGCCATGTTACTGTGTATTAGTGTCTGTTACATAGAAGCCCAGAAATATAAGTTTTGTGGCGTGGTGATTTCTGTCACAGGCATGAGGTAAAGTTAAGTCCAACGTGATGTGTATAAGGAGTTACTCCGTACGTCATTCGGGCGCCAGTCCTGCACTGTTCTGTTTTTACAGAACCTCACGCAAGACTCCTACAGCACGTCCTCGTCGTGCGCTATGGATAATGTCTCAAATGAGCATTAACAGAGCTGTCAGGGGATCTCAGAGTTGGCGGCCCCTCAGAGGTGTAGTGTCCTTGTGGCTCTCATCAGCCAGCCCCCAAATGCATGGGTGAAAAAGCTTATCAAAACACATTAGGAACATGAGTAAAGTGCTTGCCAACGTACAACTAAAATGACAACCCTAGGTTAAAAGTTTGTGGGGTGAAGAGAACATTGTGTTGCTGAGACTCAACCCTTGACCTAGAGATTTACCTGCAGCACAGATGAGCAAGGACCTGTGGGTGGCGTCTCGCAGCAAGATTCTACCCATGTACATCCTCTGTCAACCCTCAGTGTTGTCGCCATCGCGCTGAAGTACACCAAGACAGCAACCATCCATCAGCTGGTTAAGCCCAAATGTCTGACAAAAATAGACCCTACGGCACACGAGCAAGCTCAAAATCCGACCATCATAAATTGCATTGATTGGAAAAGTCCAAGTGTCCACATCCCGAGACCCCACTCACCCGAGTGTTAGGACCAAACAGATAAAGACATGCCTGACGCAGGATTCTCCATTCTGTCATGCTAACAGCATGCTAAAGATGACAATCATGCGATGAAAAAGATTTTACCTATTTGTGTGGTCACAAAAGTCCAGAACCCAAGGGCTGCTCCCTGCTGATCTCTGGAGGGCGCAACCTATGTCGAGCGGGAAGCCTAATACGGTTGTGAGGCTAAGCAGTTATGTGCAGGACGTGACGATTCCTTGGGTGAGCCCAGAACCAGAGTGTTATGTGCCGGCTCTGCATTTATGGAAGCCTCCTTGGATGGCAAGGAATGCCCATGATGTGCCCCTGCCTTCCCTTGAGGTCAAACCGTTCCACACAGGGCTGCCCCAAAGGGGGTACTTCAGGGGCAACACCTGTGGAGAAAGGGACAAAGAGGACACCACACAAATAAGGTAACATCTCGACCCACACAAAACACAGTCATTCTAGAAATAGGCCTGATGTCTTCCCTCGAAGTCGGAGTACTGCCCATGATGCAGGGAATGGCAAAAGCCAGTAAAACGGTTGTACACGCAAAACTCAGGTCCAGGTAAAAGCCAAAAGTTCAAGCGGACGATTAACCTGGACCTTCCGCCGGGATTCACAGCCGGTGAACAAAGAAGAAGAAGAAGATAATAGTTTTCATAATCTTAACATTTTTGCAGAGGTTGATGGATACTGTTTTAAAACATAAAAGTCTCGCGTATATCATCACAACATCCAGTTTAAGAATGGAGGTGGAGGCAGCTTTCTAATGGCTTGAGAGCAGCACAGCCCAACATGTGATCATTGTAACAGACTCACAGAGCACGCTTCGGAAAAATGAAAACTAACATCCTACACATAGAGTGGCTTGCTTTGCTTGATAAAACTCTGATCAGGAACATATCATGGACTTTCCTGTCCAGGACATTTGGGATAGCAGGGTAATGAGCAGGCTGATAGATTGGCTGCTGCTGCTCCTCTGAGTTACATTATTATCAAATGGAAGTGGTGAAGGCTGTCTGGGATCAAGTGAACAGTGCTACAGAATAGACCAAGAATCCATACATTGATAGACTAATTCAGCGAGGTGTGAGCATGAAGTCTGGAAGATATTCAACATTGTGGGGAAAACATGGGCGGATTTTTAATCAGGTTGTAACAGGTGCTGTTATCATATAGACTATTTGTCGGCTACTGAAGAAGGAGAATGAGCATGTGTGGAAATGTCCCAAGTGCAGGGTGGTCAGTTCTTGATTCATCCATTCACTTAAAATTATATTGTACAGATAAGGTTGTAAGAAGGTTTTTTTTCTTTTTCTTTTTTGGCCATCTAAAACAGGTTCAGACAGCTCGTGATGCTGTCAAGACAATGATGGATCACATGACCAACACTCAGACTTCCACACACATTGATGTTAAGTCAGGTATATCATCAGTCATCATTATCATCATCACTTTCAAATTTTATCAGTAAGCATCCCGGGGGAGGAGCCATTCTTGTGGGACCCATTGCTCAGTGGGTAGTACAGGCTGTTATGGTCCTTTATATTCATTCATCACTACTGTGATGATTCATTCATTGTCTTGTTGTGTCATTACATGCCACACAGGGCTCACAGTCTATTTCTCCAGTCTGTTCTATCCTGTGCAATCATTTTGATATCATGGATGGAATCCAGTCCAGCACCTTTGGCTTCTCTCATCAACATTCACATTAGGGTTTCTCTTGAATATCTTCATTCCTGCAATCCCTCTATTTCTCATTTCAGTGCCTGTTTGATTTGTTGATTCTATGTTGATCTCTTCTCAGATAATGTCAAAAGGTAGTGCCAACTTCTTTGTTTTATAACTGCTGATACTTGTGGTTGCTGTAATTTTTCTCTTATTTCTTCACTCTTCTTGAATTCATTCAATTTTGTGTTATTTCTTTCCTCAGACATTCGCTTTTACATGAATTTAACTTTTGTTACATATCTTTAGTGGTTCTCTAACTTTAACCAGCATATTTTAAAACTGAAATTGTATGAGAGTTAAAAATATGTAACTTGGTTCTGAAACTTTATAATTTAGAGTTGTATATACTTTTCAAGCTTTTAAAAGCAGCAGATGCCTTGCCAGTGCATATAATAGTTTCTCTATTTGTGTTTCCTTGACTATTGATAATACTACCTAAATAAGTGAACTGAACTTTACTTTAATTCTTTGAGTCTCTAGTGTTACATCTCGTTGATCTGTCTTTAGTGTCTTCGGTTTGTGATGATTACCAACAGATACATCTCTCTTAGTACCTTTTTTTTTTTTTTTGTAAACCAGTCAGCTATTGGTGGGTGGTATGATCAGTATAATTTCAACCATCTTTACTTTTTAGAAAAGAATCCTCTCTGCTGTGACTTTTAAATCCAATGTGTGAGTAGCATCTGCAAAATAGTCCACAGAAAGAAGATTGATACTCTTATCATTGGAAGGCTTCTTTTCTCTCAGACGTTTCCTCTCTATAGTTATAGAATCCTCTCTTTCTTCCTCATGTTCACCGGCTGTAACTTACAGTGAAAAGTTTTAGTTGTTCCTCCACTACTGGACTTTGATCATAATCTAGAACTTGAGTTTTGCATGCACATGTGCTTTGCAGATCTGGCTTATTTGTGTTTTGACAGTTGGTTCCTTGTCTTTAAGGCAGATGCACTCCAACTTTGAAGGAAACACTCTAACTTTGAAGGACACATTCTAACTTTGAAGGACACACTCTAACTTTGAAGGACACACTCTAACCTTGAAGGACACACTCTAACTTTGAAGGACACACTCTAACTTTGAAGGAAACATTCTAACTTTGAAGGACACACTCTAACTTTGAAGGAAACATTCTAACTTTGAAGGAAACACTCTAACTTTGAAGGACACACTCTAACTTTGAAGGAAACATTCTAACTTTGAATGACACACTCTAACTTTGAAGGACACACTATAACTTTGAAAGACACACTCTAACTTTAAAGGACACACTCTAACTTTGAAGGAAACACTCTTAACTTTGAAGGACACATTCTAACTTTGAAGGAAACACTTTAACTTTGAAGGAAACACTCTAACTTTGAAGGACACACTCCAACTTTGAAGGACACATTCTAACTTTGAAGGACACACTCTAACTTTAAAGGACCCATACTAACTTTGAAGGACACACTCTAACTTTGAAGGACACATTCTAACTTTGAAGGAAACACTCTAACTTTGAAGGACACACTCTAACTTTGAAGGACACACTCTAACTTTGAAGGACACATTCTAACTTTGAAGGACACACTCTAACTTTGAAGGACACACTCTAACTTTGAAGGTCCCACTCTAACTTTGAAGGACTCACTCTAACTTTTAAGGACACATTATAACTTTGAAGGACACACTCCAGCTTTGAAGGACACACTCTTTGAAGGACACACTCTAACTTTGAAGGACACACTCTAACTTTAAAGGACACACTCTAACTTTGAAGGACACACTCTAACTTTGAAGGACACACTCTAACTTTGAAGGACACACTCTAACTTTGAAGGACACACTCTAACTTTGAAGGAAACACTCCTGATTATTAGCCTTTTATGACATGCTTATTAGGGGGACAGTAGGTTTATTCTTTGTTCTTGAAAAGGGAGCCCTCGAAACCACATGGGAATAACATAATTTTTAAAAGTCTAATGAATCAAGAAGTATTGAAATGAAGCTGGCAATGGATATGACTCAATTAATAAACATGTTAATAGTATAAGAAATATATTTTTTTGTCTAAAACCAACAAGGCAAAAGAGATAGAGAGAAATCTAAAACCTTATGAAATAGAGAATTGGGAGAAAGTGAATAGTAGGCAATGAAGGGAAACAGTCAGCTAAGGTTGGAAATAACAAAATATTTTACAATACATTTAAACCACTGACCAGAACATACAAACCATGAGGTGGTAAAATTAAAAGCAAAGATGACATCTGATGCTGAGCAGAGGAAAAGATGGCACAACATTTCAAGGAGACCTTAAACAGGCCTGACCCACTAGACATAATAAACTTTAAAGAAGAGGCAAAAAACACCACACTCCCGATATAATAGGGCAGATTAATGTAACAGAAATCAGAAAGGCAATGCATTCCCTAGCAAATAACAAGACAGCAGGTGATGATAATATTACAGCAGAAATGCTCAAAGGAGTAGACCAGACAACTTTCCAAAAAGTGCTAGAACTCTTTAACAAAATGTGAGAAGCGGAAACAGTCCCAGAACAATTGAAGAAAGGGATAATTGCGAAAATCCCCCCAGAAACTTAATCTTAATGATTGCATTTATTGGAAAGGAATCACCTTACAATCTTTTATGTAAAAAAAAAAACCTTTTGCAAAGTAATCCTCAATACAGATAAAATAGCAGTTGAAACAATTATGAGAGAAAAACAGTCTAGTTGTCAAACTAGAAGAAGTTGTCTGTATCAAATAATTAACCTGAGACTTATTCCAGAAGAATACATTGACAAGCAACAACCTCTCATCCTGAATTTATTGACTTCAAGAAGGCGTTTGACAACTTACATAGAATTTCACTTAGGATTTTGGAATGCTACAACATAGGGGCAAAAATAATACACATTATTAGAAATGTATGTATGGTTCAGAATGTACAGTGTGCGGTGAAAAAGATCTAAGTTACTGGTTTCTAATAGAAACTGGAGTGAAACAAGGCTGCATTCTATCTCCGTTGTTGTTTGGAGTAGTCATGAAAACATGCTACAAGGCAATACCCAGCATTGATTGGTTAGAGAAAAAAAACAACTGGAAGATCTGAATTTTGTAGTTTCTATTGTTCTGTTAAGTAAAAATGACTAAGACATGCAAAGAAAAACTGATTATTTGTCATTAAAAAAAATTGGATTTCCAAATAGTCGTAAGAAAACAAATATATTAAAGATACCAACAACAGATCATATATATGTCAAGCTAGAGAATTACTAGTAAAAGTAGCGGACCATTTCACCTTTTTGGGTAGCAATTTTGACTCTTAAGGAGATAAAACAAAGGAAATTATGATGCATTGGTAAAGCAACAAGTCTTTAAAAGCCTTAACAAAATATGGAGCTCCAAGTTAAACAGCTTTAAGACCAAACTAAAGATTTTCAGTTCTAACATTTTTTCAATCCTAGCATATGCCAGCAAACGCTAGAGAACCAAAAAGGTATGGGACAAAGGTTAAATGCATTTGAAAATAAATGTCAGAGAATAAACATGAACATAAAATGGAATGAATTAAAAAAGAGTGAGGAGGTCAGAGAAATGTGTGGACAAATAACTGCATCCACTGCAATAAGACAGATGGTGGAGATATAATGGGCTCTCTGAGACTAAATAAGCAAAGAATTACAACACAGGTATGGAATAGGAAACAAACAGTCTGAGAAAAAGAGGACATCCAATGAAAACATTAAGAAGAACATTATTACGAGAGAAAAAAAATTATGGGTTAAACTCCATGTCAGAAATTGGGAAAGTTACATGCAGTAGAGTGGAGTGGAGGAAACAGATGTGAGCCCTGTGTGACGTCTAATGGCATACAAAGGATGATGATGATGGAGGTAGCTGCAAGAATGACTAAGGTGGCTTGGTATGAGTTAGCTGAGTGTGTTAGGGATAACGGGCAGAAGAAGAATAAAAATGATGACAACTTAGCTATTTTAGCTTTTTGAAAGTAAACTGTTTGCAGTTTAGCTGCTTTCTGCAATTGTAGAGAAGCTTCGGGACTAATTTTATCTTGTCTTGCCAAATAATTTTTGCCTGTCCTTCTTCTTTTATCATCTCACTGTTACCAAGTTGTAGCCCATTGTCATGGTTTTCTGTATTTGTTTTGCATTTCTTGGCTGGCTTGGGTGATGGATTTGTTCATGTTTGTCTTTTTGCAGGTTTCTGCTGCACCATTTGTCCATCTCTTTCTTTCACTCCCAGATGTTCTGCTGTAGAAAGTCTCATATGCAGTTTGGTCTGGCTGCATTCTCATTAGATGGCTGAACCATTTCATTCTTTGTCTGTCAATATAATCCAGAAGTGGTCTTATTCTGACTTTCTCTCTTCTTGTGTTGTTAGTGACCGTGCGGAGACAGCGCATTTCATTTGTAGTTATTTTCTGTTCTAGTGCCCTATTCATTGTCCATGTTTGACACTGACTGGTGTTAATCTCTCAGAATCTTTTTCCTTAGCCTTAGATTGTATTTTTGTTTTAGTCTTCAAGGCTGCATACACATTGTTTGAAATTTTCACATTTAATACAGCATTTAAGAAGCATGAATACATAAACAAACACACATCCACTGCAAAGATTCTCTCTCTCTCTCTCTCTCTCTCTCTCTCTCTCTCTCTCTCTCTCTCTCTCTCTCTCTCTCTCTCTCTCTCTCTCTCTCTCTCTCTCTCTCTCTCTCTTTCGCTCTCTTCTCTCTCTTTCTCTCTTTGCCTCTCTCGCTCACTTAGTGAACTCTAACTTTAATTTTTTTCTCTTATACCCTTCTCACTACTTTATTTACTTCAGAAACATCTTCATTCTTCTGTTCTAGGTGACAGGGTAGCACTGTTGATAAACAATCTGGGAGGGACATCTGTACTGGAGCTCAACATAGTTGCTAAAGAAGCTATCTCATACCTTGGTAAGCTAGCAGCACTAGACGATCCTTGCCGAAAACTGATTAACAGATTATTGAAATATGTACAGTACGAAATACTGTTGTTATAATAACTTTTACAATGGCTCATAATTAATCATAAAGAGACTACATCACAAATGATGAAGTTTGCTACATCATCAGTCAACATGCTGGGAACTGGGGGATATTTAATTTTTTTTTAATATTTAAAAAAAATTTCTAATTTGTAAATGAGGTTAATTACTAAGTATAAAATATGTGACTGAGTTAAGTTGATTAGTATCAGTTACGAAGTATAATGTGTGCAGGAATCGGATTGAGTAATGAATAAATCGAGACAAGTGTGCTCGAAGTTATGCTAAAAATGTACTAGATAAGAAAAAGCATGAATCATGTGTGGAACCTTTGAGAACTTGAGAAGGAAACTGATTATTCAAACTAATCAAGAAGCTTCAGTCTTGTTTTGAAGGTTGAGAAAACTGGGTCAAATGGCACTTGCAGAAGGAGAAGCTGTGATTCTCTGTATGTGATGTATAGAAAATGATTGCTGGCTTAATGTGATACACAAGTGCCATTAAACTGGTCCTTCACCCAAATATTTTTAAAAAGAAATCAAACTTTTATTTATCATTATTTATTTTATCTCTAAATTATTATTTTTTTTGTTTTTTGTTTCTAATGCAGAATATGTTGTTTCTCTTTCTAGAAAATCGGGGTGTGTCTGTGGACAGGGTGTTTTGTGGTGTGTTCATGACATCACTTGAAATGGCTGGGATTTCCATCACCGTGCTGCATGTCGATGATGACATTATAGACTATTTAGGTATGTAGGAGACACCTATAACTTAACTTATAACTTAACTTAACTTAACTTATTTCTTAACATAGCAAAAACAAAGATAATGCATACAAACAAAACTGCCATGGAGAAGGAAATATATGTTAATGAGGAAAGATTGGAAGTGGTGGAAAATTTCAAATATCTTGGGTCACTGGTTACCAACAATGGTGACACAATGAAAGAAATTAAACGGCGACTATCAATTGCTCTTCAAAGACTAAAACAACTGAATAAATTATGGAATTGTACAGATAGAATTACAAAGGTCAGATTTTTAAGAGCATGCATCTTTCCCATTGCAACATACGCCTGTGAGACCTGGACACTTACTAAACAATGCGGAACAGCGCATAAATGCATTTGAATATAAATGTTACAGACAGGTTCTAAGAATATCTTGGGTAAAGAAAAGAACAAATGCATCCATACTTCAAGAGCTGAATATTGAAGAGGGTTGGCTAGTAAAGACAATAAAACAAAGAAAATTGAAATATTTTGGTCACTTGAAACGTCATGGAAGTCTAGAGAGAACAATAATGGAGGGGTATATGCCTGGGAAGAGAGGAAGAGGAAGGCCAAGGAGAAGATGGGTGCAGGATGTGGCAGATGATCTCCAGATGGGTGTATCAGATGCAGGACATCTTGCTCAGGATAGGAAGGTTTTCCTGAGTGTTGTTATGGCAGCGAGGTTCCGCGAGGGACATGCTACTGAATGAATGAGGAGACACCTTTGATAAGGGTTGCTGTTGCTGGCACCATTCCATCTCTCCAGATGATAGTGTTACATTGTGTTATAGGGAAGGATGGGAATTCACAGCCCATGGTGACCACTGAAGGCCAGGGATGAAGTTACTTCTCTTTCTCCACAGGACAAAGCCTGGGCAGTGTTGTAAAGACCTTGTGCTACCTAAGCTGCCTGATCCCCTTCTCAGGTTGCCTTGTTTACTCCAAAGGAATGGTAATCACTTATACACTTAGAAGAAAGCTTGTGAAGCATTTAACCAAATAAAAAAAAAATGTGTCATGTAAACAAAGCTGCAAGGACCGACTCTGGGATGAGAATCAGTGTTTTTCTATCTATCTGTCTCTGTCTATTTGTCAGTGCATGCCATCTTCTTCTTTGCATTCACTGGTTGTAAACTGGTGGAAAGCTCAGGTTGTATGTCCACTTTTAGACTTTGGTCTTGTTTCATAACTTGAGTTTGGGTGCAGATCTGTTTTACATAACTGCATGTTTGCCTGCCTACACTCCTAAGAAATATCATCTAATTTATTTAAGGTAGTCTTAGTCTGTTTGACTGGACTATGTTTAATACCATAATGTACTGTAAGATGCACTATAGTTTGTATGTGCTTTATGCTAGGAATACTGAATACAGCACAAACTGTAATTAGAAAAATAACTGGAGGGAATGGAAATGATGTACACAAATACAACAGAACATTGACACACAACAGAAAATTGTGACACGCATTAGAGCATTGTGACACAAAAGAGTGCATTGTGAGACACAACAGAACATTGTGACACACAACAGAACATTGTGACAAACAACAGAACATTGTGACACACAACAGATCATTGTGACACACAACAGAGCATTGTGACACACAACAGAGCATTGTGACACACAAAAGAACATTGTTACACACAGCAGAGCATTGTGACACACATAAGGACATTGTGACACACAACAGAACACTGGGACACAACAGAACATTGTGACACACAACAGAGCATTGTGACACACAACAAAAGATTGTGACATACAACAGAACATTTTGATTGAATTCATTATCAACTGACTACTAAATACAACACAAACCGTGACCAGAAAATTTAACAGATAAAGACAATAATACTTATAAACAGCACAGGTTATAATGTGACTAGAATTGACTTTCTTCTAGCTGGCCATCAGAACTAAAATGAATGTTGATGAGAGAAGTAAAAGGTGCTGGGCTGGATTCCATCCATAGTATCAAAGTGAATGCACTAGAATAGACTGTGATCCCTAGGTGACATATAACGGTACAATAAATGAAATAATAAACGTCCATCAGAAATTCTTCTGCTTTTTCTTCTTTTTTCGTTTGCTTGAAACAGATTATGTATTTCTACAATGTTGTCTCTAGTATAAACTTCACTGTCTTTTGTAATTCACTCAGCGACCCATAAAGTTGACTTGCACCGACCTTTCTCTTGGCCAAACGTTTTGCCTTGATATGTAGTATCTGGGACAGTCATGGAGGACATGATCTGTTGTCTCAGGTGCCAGTCCACAAGTGCACATGGCTCATTCGCCGATTTTAGATTTTGTGTACATTTTGTGTCCAGCTTTTCAGCTGAGACTAGGAAAATGTCAGTTATTAAGGCAAATATTTTTCCCCATCAAAGTTATAGCATCTGGAGTTAAAACTGCATTAATTTTTTCCCTCAGATTTCCCCACTGATGTGCCAGCTTGGCGGGCTCCATATTTAGCTGCTGGTATGAGAATAAGGAAGACTCCAGGTTTGGTTTCAGTGGAATCAGAAGATGAGTCACTGTCTGATGCTGGTGCAGCCAGACTTGATCCAGGTAAGTGAAATCATGTCATGTGACTCTCTGTCTCAGAGGTTAGTGAGTGTGTTTCACAGTTTCATGATCCTCAGGTACAAAGGTTTGATTTCCACAGCAGTTGGTTTATTTTAAAAGTTAGGGGATCTCTGTGGCAAAATGGTCAAGCCATTTACTCGCTCTGTGAAGGTTGTGGGTTTGTTTTATGGCTGCGCCCTTCAGCTCATAAGTACAATTTTTATGGAGATCCCTAGGGTTCATTACCAGAGCTATGGAGATTGTGTCTGTACGGCGCTCTCAACATGCGGCTAGCCATTCTGTGGAGAAACACAGAGCCGTATGGGATAAATCCCCGTGCAATGAAGTGGATCCTCTTGACTTTAACCTTTTACTTTATCCTTTATTTAAAAAATATAAATTAAAAAGCACCAGTTCTCATGGTTTGTCTGACAGTGGTATGACAGTCACACAGTGGAAGAAACCTAATAATTCCAAAGACACCACTTGGTACACTGCAGCCAACCTTCATTGCGGACATGACAAACAATAAAAAATTGTGTCACCCTCGCAACATAGGATGCGCCCTGCGAAATGATGTGGTAAAAATGGAAAGGGAAGTTACTCTCTTTCTGAGTGGAAAATGTAAAAAGAACCTCAACTTCTTTACATTTTATTAACTTGCAATGCATGTTTCAGAAAATATAAACTGGTGTCCTGCACTCAGAGTGATACCACTCGGATGTGAAGCATATTGTGGGTTTTTTTGCCCAGGACATTTGGGTGTGCATGGTAATGAGCTGACTGATAGATTAGCTGCTGCCACTTCTTTTAGCAATGAGCTCTCTGCGATCAAGCAAACAGTGCAACAGAAGAGAAAGAGTATCCATTTCTGGAAAGAACAATTTTAGCTATGAGTGGGTATGTCTCGATGATTTTATGATTTTCTGCCGGACTGGGAAAACCAGCAAACTTGTAATCAGGTTGCACCTGGGATTTCCTTGTTGGCTGCTGAATGAGGGAATAAACATGTTTGGGAATTTCCCTAGTGTAGTATGGTCAGTTCTTGTTTCATTCATAAGTTTTATTATCTCATGATTGGATTCTCATTCTTTTATAAAACTGCATCTCTTTAATTCCATATAATTTCTCACTGATACTGAATGTCGATGATTTAACTTTATACATGAAGGTAGAATATAAGAACTGTTTTTCTTAGTTTTAAATAATTATTTTGTTGTGTCTTTCATGCATTGGTATGAAACAGTTAAATCTCCTGTCTTTATCTGCATTCGTTTTCTATTAATATTTCTGGTTACTCAATAATTCCTGTTGTTTTTAATCTCCTGATTTCTGTAAGAATGTTTACCATTTAAATATGTCATCCAGTATGAGACAGAAAGTGTATGCAGTCACTTGAACTCTCCATTCAGTTAGGCAGTCTTTATAACTGACTCTTACTCACTACTCTTTGGAATGAATTGTTGAGTTGAGTTGAGGTGAGTTACGATGTTCAAGAACTGATATCACATTACTTTGAACTTTCCCACATGAGCTCTATCCTCATCTTCAGCAGTCAGCCAAGAGTTCCATTTCTGATGGTACCAGTAGCAGTTTGGTTTATCCCCATTTTGCCTTCCATGTGAGTGTAGAATGAACCGGACTTTCTAATGAAGTAAAGATGCCTGCAGGAAGGCCAATGATACGCTAAAAGGACACATGCAAACACAACCTGAAAGATATCAAAATTGACATAGACACTTGGGATTTGACAAGGGGATCTGGCTGGTGCACAACACTCAGTGGTAAGGCAAGACAGATATACAGACAGTTACTGGTGCCATGGGAATTGGAACTCTTTGCTTGCTGCTGAATATGGGGATGGAGCGCTTATGGGGGTGTCCTGAGTGCTGTGATGTCGATTCTTAATTCAACATTCAGTATGGGAGAGATCAGCTGCAGAACAACTCCTTTTAAAGCAGACAGTGAAGGATGGACTGTTTAAAAGAAGCCAAATACAGCAAGCTATAGAGAGTCGATGTCTGAGAGAAAAGCAGCCTCGCAATGATAAGAGTATCAATGTTTTTTCTGTGGACTATGTGGCAGAAACTGCCACTCCCACATTGGATTTTACAGTCACAGCAGACACTGTTCCCAAAACCATCGGTGTAACTGCATGGTTCCCAGGGACTGATGGTTGCTAACACACAGAATGAATTATTAATACACATGGAGCCTTCACACTTACTAGAACTGAAATGATTCAGATTCCAAGTTCACTCAGACACATGGTGTGTTATGAACAGCAAAAATATTGTTTCTAATATTATTTTTTTTCAAGCATCTGCAGCTCTAGTGTTCAAGGCAGTCCAGTCTGCTTGTCAAAAACTGGTGGCTATGGAGAAAGAACTGAATGATCTAGATACACAGTCTGGAGATGGAGACTGTGGTTCTACTTTAACATTAGGTGCCAAAAGTGAGTTTTATTATAGCCTCAATTGACTGATTTTATTTCACTGCTTTGTGAAAGTTTATGAATGCTTCTGTTACCTCCTTAACATTATGCTAAAACAATCTTACCTACTCACACAGCATTTTGAGAAAGGTGGAGACAGGCATGCTGCATGCATAGTAGCAAGCATCGCTTCAGAGGTCCCGGGTAGTTAGTGTTCCTTGGAGATTTTTTCAATTATACCGATGTGTTGGGAAACTAGCAGGGAGATAGACTGGCCGGTTCTGCACAACTAGGTGTTGAATTGATGAATGGCAAACTAGATATTGTGAGGGCCCTTTGGGAGTGAGGGAATAGTGCAGAGGCACAAATAGATTATTATGGAAAATGGCACTGAGAGGAGTAACTAGGGGATCTGGCTGATGCTTAGCGCTCAAGGGAAAGGCGAGCCAGATATACAATCAGACAGTTACTGGTGCCATCGTAATTGAAACTCTTTGCTTGCTGCTAAAGATGGGGACAGAGCACTCATTGGAGTGTCCGGACTGCTGTAATGTTGATTCTTAATTCAACATTTAACAGTCTCAGCTCAGATCACAAACTCTGAAGCACCACCAAAGACCCTATTGTGTGTAAACGAGTATCCACACTAAAAATATTCTTTTATCGATAGATGTTCTTGTTTTGAGAGTTGCCAAGCAGGAGCCTTGTGGCCTACACTTTGTGTATTACCTAGAGATCAAGGGAAAACTGACATCATCATCATCATCATTTAGCAAGCCCTTTACAGAATGTCACTCTTTATCTTGGCACGTCACAAAACCACTCGTTATCTTGTCAACTTTCCTGCCTCATGAACTTTCACACCCAGGGTGTCCTTGATATCCCTAGTCACTCTTTATCTTAGCACGTCACAAAACCACTCAATATCTTGTCATCTTTCCTGCCTCATAAACATTCATGCCCAGGGTGTCCCTGATATCCTTGTCACTATTTATCTTGGCACCTCACAAAATCACTTGTTATCTTGTCAACTTTCTTGCCTCATGAACTTTCATGCCCGGCGTGTCCTTGATATCCTGTGTCAACTGTTGTGCTAGTCAACTCCCTGCCTCTTATCATCATGCCAGTTCCACATCAAAGATAGATTAGTGGCTAGAACACTTGACAACCAACCAAGTAATTGCTAGTTTTATTGCACTTTAAGCCATAGCTTTTTGTTTCATTGGCCTGATGCTACCCAAAAAAAAAGGGGTACAAGGATATCTTCTGAAAAGTAAAGGTAGCTGACACAATATTCTCCATATTACGCATCAAGGACTGGCTGATCTAAAAAAAAAAAAAATTTGATTTTTCAGAACTAAATATCCCCAGTAGACCTATGACTTGACTAGGGATCCTTTGGTGTTTATTTTTAAAATTTATTATAAATGTCCACACTGACACTTTGTTGTCAGGCATGTCAAATGTTATCTGATTTTTGCTGAAAGATTTTTAAGGAATACTTAGCAATTATATTGTTCTACTTCTTCTTCAGCATTCCAAGCCCTTGAGGTTAATTGCTGCAGATATCACCCACTTCCATTATCTTTTTGGTTGGCCTTCTCTTTCCAGTCGGTGACATCAAGTGTTTGCAGGTCTGCCTGGTCATTATCTCTCCATTTTCTTCTTGGTCTGCCTTGTGGTCTATGACCATTCATCTCCCTTGTGTATACAGTTTTTTGACATTCTTTCAATATGCCCCAACCATTTCAGTCTATTAGCTCTCAAGGTGCCAGTGACATTTGTGATTTAAACAGATTCTGAATTTCGTTGTTGCTTCTCACTCTCCATTCCCCACTGTTAGCATCTTTGAGGGGTCCAAATATTCATCATAAGACTCTGTTTTCGAAAACCTGTAATAAGGCTTCATCTCTTTTAGTTGTGCTCCAAGTTTCAGAGCCATATAAAATGACTGGTCTTATCAACGTTTTATATATTTTCATCTTGGTGTTGCGAGACAGACACTTCAACTTTAGCAAATGTTTAAGGGCATAATATACTTTATTTCTAGATTATATTCTAGAATGTATTTCTTCTCTCAGCATGTTGGAGCAGTTGAAGTTTGCACCCAAGTACTTTATGTTCGTCTGATTTTCATATTATCGACTTGTATGTGGCCAGAGTTTATATCCTTTCCCTGTCTAGTTATTATCTCGTTTTCTGTCTTATTTTTATTGATAACTAGTCCCATTTATTGATTTATATTGTGGTACACCATTAAGAGTGTATGTTCATTATATGTCATCTCACACAATCACTTGTCTCAGAGATCTGATGTTTGTTTTTGTCTCAATTTTGACATGTAACCAAATTTTTCATATATCTATCTTTGTCTTCACCTTTCTCTGTTCACATCAAATTTGTGAGTTTGATTTCTAAAATTTCAAGTATTTCTCCTCCAACAATGCCCACAAATCTTTGTTTTTAATTAATGAAACAGAAAAAGTGTTCTCATGGTTGAGCATTTAGCTTCGAACTGATATCACAGCAGCCTGGACATTTCAATAAGTGCTCCATCCTTATCTTTAGCAGCCATCAAAGATTTGCAATTCTGATGGTGCCTGTAGCAGTTTCATTATATGTCCATCTTGCCTTTCCTCTGAGTATAGAGTGTTGATTAGATACCCTGATCACTAACAGCTGTACCAATATCTCCTGTCCATAAAAATCTAATCGTGCCACCTCATGGTTTTCAGTGGTTCAAGAGTTGCACCATGGAAAAGATTTGGGCCTCAACACCAAATATTCCCAAAGACACCAGTAGGTAGATGTCGCCAACCTTCAATGTGGTGATGGCACACAATTAGTGTTTTTAATATAACAAATGTTCATGATTATCCTATGGACTGCACTCGAAGCATGTCACCATCACTACTACAAATACTGTTGAAGTTCTTCCAGTGTTTCCACATTTATTGTAAAAAAATATTTTGATAACATTTTTATGGGGTGGAGAAGGAAAATCATCAAGTTATGTGTGATAATTATTGTTGTAAACATAATCTGCAGCTGTCTTAGCTAAGCTTGGCTCAGCGAGTCAGCCAGGTCTCCCTGTCGACTGTCCACACACTCTGGCACTTAGCTTGGCACAGATTACAGGCAATGTCATGGGGGGATCATCTGGGGCAGTGAGTAGACTTTGTTAAATCTTTTATGTAATTAGTTGGTAATAAAAACCACTATACTTGTCTTTTTTTCTTCTTTTCCCTAGACCATGTCCTGCATTTCAGAATCAGCTTTTGAAGAGGCATCTGGTGTGAGCTTTGGTGTGTCTTTGTAAATGTTGACCTCAAATATTACATCTATCCATAACTTGTATGGATGACTGACTGATATGATGTCTCTTGGTTTAGCTTACCACTAATTCCACCCTAACTTGATTCTTGATAACATCCTTTCTGATCTTTTCTCTTCATATTACTTTCAAGGTTTATCAGAGACATTTCATTTCTGTTCTTTTGATTTTCCTTCATCCTTTTATTGTTTGGCATTGGTTTTCTATTCTATTTATACAATTGAAAAACCTGATGTATTAAGTCAATTATTTTACAAAACAAAATAAGGGACTTTTTAAATGTCTTGAGGCATGCTGCGTAAATGAGGCTAGCTCATATTTTTGCAGATTGATCAGTACTTGATGGATAAGTGAAATTGTTGTACCAGTCATCTTTACTTCACTGAAAATGTATTTTATCATAAATCCACTATATTGTAATAAACATTTATTGAATCAATTGAATCTGATATTTAAACCAGTTAAATATATGCTTCAATGAAAATTTTTTAATGAAATCATAATCTTGTATTATAATTTGCTCAGCTCAGCTTGCCATTACAAATCATTCCACAAACCACACTTGGTACTTGTGCTTTAACTCTTTGAGTCCCAAGGAACGCATCATGCGTTCATAGGTTCCTACCCAGAAGCCCAATGAACACATGATGCACCAATTTTATTACTTTCTTTACTACCCCCTGAGCCTGTGATGCTAAACCCCCTGTGACTCAAAGAGTTAAGGTTTATAGCATTTGTGATATACTCATGTTAAGGTTAGCTCAACCTGGAAGTTCAGGTCAATTTTAAAAATCCACCTTTATGAGAATTTGAACTTTTATGACCTTCAGCTTATCAAGCACCTGTGCTAGAAACTACTAAGCCAAACATATAATTACTGTTGACATTAACTTGATCCACTGAGATATCTGTCTGTTGAAACGTAGTTATAGTTTAGTTTAACATGTGCTCCTTTGTTTGGTATTTGAATATTTTTTTTTTTTACATTATTGTGTCTTTTTATTTGTCATCTAACAGATATACTGTTGTTTTTATCTGCACCTTGACAAGTGTGTTGTCAGCTTGTACAGTTTTTAAATGTCACTTGTTAATCGGGGTGCTACCTCTACTGTCTGTTTTTATGTCTTATGACAACTATTTTATCTACTGTGCAGTATGTTTTTATATGTCACTTAATAGTTGTGCTGTTAGCTCTATAGTTTTTATGTCACTTGACAATTATGATGTCTGGTTTTTATAAATATATATATGTATTTATGTGTGTGTGTGTGTGTGTGTACGTGTGTATGTATCATATGCATGTATCGTATGTATGTATGCATTGCATGTATGACTCGTATGTATGTATGTATGTATTGAATGTATGTATCGTATGTATGTATGTATCGTATGTATGTATTGTATGTAAGTATGTATCGCATGGCATGTATGTATCGTATGTATTTATGTATGTATTGTGTGTATGTATGTATCGTATGTATCGTATGTATGTATGTATATGTGCGTGAGTGCTTGATATTATGTTGTCAGCTCTACAGTCTGTTTTATATATATATATATATGTATGTATATCTATATAAATATATATATATATATATATATATATATATATATATATATATATATATATATATATATATATATATATATATATATCGGCTCTGTGGCCAAGTCGATGCGAACGCTTCGCTTCGAAATGCCGGGATGCCGGGTTCGATCCCAGTTGCGGGCAATGCGCCTTGCGTTGGTTTCGACAGTGGTATCAAGAAAGCCGACCGTCCAGCAAGCAATGGCAAACTACTGGACGTAAATTTGCCAAGAGAAACCACACAACAGCCAGGGGCTGTTAGGGTTGGTTCTGCAACGTCCTGTAAAGGATACACAACTAACTTTTTAAATGTATGTATATATATATATATATATATATATATATATATATATATATATATATATATATATATATATACATATATATATATATATATATATATATATATATATATATATATATATATATATATATATATATATATATATATATATATATATATATATATATATATATATATATATATATTGTTTGATATTATGTTGTCAGCTCTACAGTCTGTTTTTTACTGGGGCAGCCCAAGAACTGAAGGTGGCAAACAGGGACAGTTTATCTGCTGCTTTAGGAACAGGACTCCAGGCCATTATGAGGTTGGACAGTTTTGTTTTGTCTAGTGTTTTATAGCAAAACTTGTGAAAAAAATGCATTCCATCAGAGCAATTAACACACAAGTTAACAGATACTGATTCATCTTTATTAAACAGAGAGCTGAGATAGCATAGTCAGGTCTTGGTCAGATATGACTGAGCTACCATATAATGGTAGCCAATACCACCTGTCTTCTGTTAATGCCAAATGGTGAGTGGTGTATACCAAACCTGACATCCCATATTGTGACAGCTGCTTGGAATGGAGGAGCGCTGCTTGGAATGGGAAAGAGAGAAGCCGCATTTATGGGTGGGCAGACTAGGCCCTTAGCCTTTATGGGAGCTGGTCTAGCCTTATCCTGGACAGAGAACACTGCTCTTCTGTTCAAGCTTCTGCAGAAACATGAAAACTTTCCATTGCAGTAAACATGGTAGGTCGAGTGAGGGATCATGACGCATGGGCAGCATATAGTCTCAACAATACTGCCCAGGTTTTGTGCTATGAAAAGGATGAACTTCATCCCTAGTCACACTTGCCATCGCTATGGGCTTTGAGTCCCATGCCTCCTCATAGCACAGTATGACACTATCGTCTGGAAAGACGGAAAGGTGCCAGTCCAAGAGATAGCACAGCGGCTGGCTCAAAAATCTTGGATTTGAATCCACACTGAGTCAGATTGTTTTTTAATGACCTAGGCTTCTAGGCTGACCCACCCTAAGATGGGTCCTTGGTCAAGTCTTTGAAAGTAAAGCTGGCTGGGGAATGTTGACTTCCTGACCCGTCAAATGATGATTGTTGTCTTCCTTCATAAATCTGATTCACCACTGGTATGAAAAGGGTCTTTTACTTACTTTACTTTTATTAAATATTTATTTCTTCTTCTTATAGCCGATGCTATTTGGCCATTAGTAGTCATGTCTGTCCACAGCCTTCTGTCTCATGTGTCTCAATTAATTTCTGACACAAATGATCTTCCATGCCACAATGTCAAACTAGACAGCATCTTTTCTTTCAGTCTCCTTCTGCTTCTTTCCCTCTAACTTTCCCACTATTGCAGTGTACTCCAAATTTTCTCCATCTCATGACATGACCAAAAAAATGTGGATTGTCTCCTATTTCTGATGTGGGTTATGTTGTCTCTTTATGAGTCCGTTTCTTTCAAGACATCTTTGAGGATCTTTTTACATGTCCACAAAGTTCACATCATTCATCCATAAAACAAGTGCAATTTTCACACAATTTTTCATTAACTGACTAACTGTCCATGATTCACTTCTGTTTATCAGGATTGCATTATTTAGTTCTTAGGAACTCATTTTCCCACTTAAATTGACAAAGAAAAATTGCATACAGTATTCTTCATTTTTTTGAAATGCTGCCTTTTCTTGATCTGTTCTGTATTTAATTTTGTTTAAACTGTGTTCAAATACTATAATATCAGCCTCATTGCAGCGAGTTTTATCCTGTTTGGCATTGAGTTTTATCCTGTTTGGCTTTGAGTTTTATCCTTTATATAAGCTGGCTGGTCATCTGCTGAGAGTTTTGCCCATTGCATGAAACCTCATAAAAGAGTGACAATTTCTAGTCATCTCTAAACACTTGCACTCATAAGGCCAGAGTCCAAAAACAAATCCATGATTTCAGATCATAAAGTTAATGGCTTAACCATGTTGCCACAGAGACCCGTGTACAAGAGAGGTCTTGTAGTAGCTGCACGTCTGAATATATCAGTGTTTGTGACTGACATTATGCTGATAATAAAAATACACATCATCCTACTGTGCCATTATATGTGACAATATATTACTCCATTCCATTCTATCTTGTGCATTCATTACAATATCATGGATGGAATTTTGTACAGCTGCTTTGGCCTCTCTTAGCAACATTCATTACATGGCTTCTCTTGGACTCATCCATTTGTCTCCCAATTAGGTGCCTGTTTGATGTTTCTCTACTCACTTTTCAGGAAGTTCCCAAAATAGTTCTATTTTCTTTGAATTATAACTTTGTCTTATAACTTCACATAGAAAAAACATTGTTTTTTTTTTTTAAATGAGCTACTTACATTGCTAAAAAGGAACAATTACTCACAACTGGTAATCTCTCATATTTGGAAATCTAATGAAAGATTTACAATTCTCAGATACGGCGGTGCTAAACCTGGATATCGCACAATGGTAAGTATTTGGATTTCATCATTTTCTTTATGATAGTATTATCACAGTTATTCTCTAGTTTTTATTTACACAAAAATTATGCAAAATCAAGAGAGTATTACATTCAGTGAAGTAAAATATTCACTGAACGTTTTAAAACTGAGTGGATTGGGACACTAAAGGGAGAAAAATCAAACATCACACATTCTTTCTGACTGAGAAAATGTAGGAGTAATGGTGTATTTAATTTTTAAAAAAGCAACTGTTAAATAGTTTTTAACTTAAACAAGTGAAGAACAGTGTGAGAGTTAGCTGACAAGTTTTACCCTTTAGTATAAAAGAGTTAGCTACATTCTTGGAAAGCGGTACGAATGCTAGTCCTTCTTTGTGTATTTAGCCCTCAAGGAGATGCATTTCTCTCATCTCTTCTTAATTTTGCTTATGTCCAGACTGTAGAATTTCTCTGCCTGAATCCACTTTAGTAATCAAGTCCTGCTCATTTGGAAAATGACATCCATTGACCAGATTATTAAATTTAGGAGGAGGAAAAATCATTTCTTCCCATGTCCAGTGCATAATAATCCCCTTCATGAGAATTTTTTTCTGAATGACAGGAACTTGATTACTGAACTGGAAATAGGGAATCACAATGTATAATATCAGTATCATTGTATTCTGTTGAATTAAGTCACAAATGATGTTTACCAACATGCCAGGTTGACCCTCTCAATGCTGCCTATAGAAGTCTTGTATCCAGTGGAACAAGTGGCAAGAGCATTGCAGAGGCTTTGAAAACAGCAGCAGAGGTGATTTTCTTAAAATAGATTTACGAACATCACATTTAGCTTTTTAATTATGTGCCATTTTTGTATATTTAGATTTTTGTTAAGTTTTTTTTTAATGCCACCTATCAATGAATAAATTAAAATTATCATAAAATGTTACAAATATTTGCATAGTAATTTTCATAGTAACATTAATAAGGATTTTAAACAGAGATACTGGCCATATCAATGCAGAGGTTAAAAATTTTGTTAGAGGCAATGGCACAACACCGGCAATCAAAAAAAAAAAAAAAAAGAGTTCATATTTTCTCAAACCATCTGTTCTGTGGTAGCATGTGAGTCAAAAAGCAATTTACAAACTCTACAGAAAATTAGGCTTTGACTTTATTTTACAGAAAACTTTGTTAGAATACTATAAAGACTCAAATACAAAACGTGGCCACACCACCTTGTATGCTTTGGCCTACACATATTAACTTTTTCTAAACTGCACAGTTGTCTCTACAACATTTTCAGTTTCTGTGTATATTATTAGAGTACAAAAATTTGTGTTTTTATTAGCTGCAACATGATTATGAGACAAAACCTATCAATGTAGCAGCTGGTATAGAATGAGATAGAATGAGGTCATGTAACAGGAGGCTGTGGAAAAAAACTTCTAAAATTTTTGCACTATACCTTAACGCTAAATTCTTGTTTCCAGAAAATCAAATCTGAATACTGAGTGACAAATGAAAACTAGATTATTGTGTGAATTTACAAGTATGCCTTTGGCATATTGTAAACTGACAAGTAACAGCCATAAAAAAACAGATCTAATTTGCACTAAGGAGCTTTTGCCTAAAGCCACGGTATACAATGTATAGAGTAATGATTGAATGTTATTATTTGATTTTGACTTATTTGGCGTAGGAAGTTACACAAGTTCCTTTGTCATATTGTAAAGTGACAGATAACAGCACTGATAATGCAATTAGATAAAAAATCACCAAAATTGACAGGTGACTTTTACGTATAGCCAACAAACAATATACAATTTTTAGAGTAATGACTGAGCATTTTATAAGCTCTCTGGCACTGAATAGTTAATGCCTAACACTTTACTCGAATAATAAGACCTTCAATGGAAGTTAAGTTAGTTGTGTATCCTCACCAGACAATGCAGAAGCAACCCCAGCATTTTTTAGCTGTTGTGGTTTTAGTAGGCAAATTTTACCTTCAGCAGTTTGCCATTAGTGGCTGAATGGTCAGCTCTCGGTACCACTGTTAAAACCAATGCAAGGCAAACTTTCTGCAACTGGCATCAAACCCCTGACCCTGGCATTATGCAGCATAATCGCAACACCTAAGCCACAGACGCCGACTTGATGGAAATTCCTTTATTTAAAAAAAAAAGTGTATAATGCTGATTTAAGACATTAAAGGTAATAGAGGTAATTTAGTTAGTTAGTTAGTTAGTTAGTTGGGTTATCATCATTGCACTCCGGACATGTCCATAGGTGCTCAGATCCTCCCCTCAGTATGAACCCCAACGTCCGATGGCTAATAGTACCAGTTCTATGTTGATTAACAAGTCTTCTGGCGTGTCTGGTGTGCATCTCGTTTTTTGCTATGCCGATCTTAATTCCCAAGTCTGCCATTCTGGCGAGTGATGTGGATTCAATGCCACCAAAGTCCTCTATCCTTCCCATTTTTCTGAGGGCATTGATAATAACAGCATGATCCATAAGTTGACCGTCGGTAGTGATAGCGGATCCAGCCAACCTGTCAGCTCTTTCATTTCCATTGACGCCTGCGTATCCCGGAACAAAAATAAAGGTGACTCCACGCACAGTGGACTTCTGTAATGATTCAAGCCATTGTCTTCGCACTGAACCTGCCTGAAACCTCTGGATCATATTCATTGAATCACTGAGTATATATACGCCGGTGTATTCTTGTGTTTTGAGCCAGGCGAACGCTTGCTTCATAATTTAATTATCATCTAACCATTACTTCCCCAGGAAGCCAGATGTGCAGCACTGGATACAGCTAAAATGGATGCCCAGGCAGGAAGGGCCAGTTATGTTAATAAAAGTTTGTTGACAAAACCTGACCCAGGAGCTGTGGCTCTAGCTGAGTGGTTCAAGGCTGCCACTGATGTCTTGTAGACTTGCATGAGAATGTTCATTATCTGTAAGTTTGCTTTCTGAAAGCCATGACCTTGTTTTGTTGATGTCCTTAACAGTTACTCGTTTACATCTGTTATTTGTAGCAATAAAATGATTGATTTACTGGCACCTTTCCGTCTTTCCAGATAATAGTGTTATATTGTGCTATGGGGAGGTGTAGGACTCACAGCCGATGGCGAGTGTGACTGGCAAGACCTGCCCACATTAAGAAAAGTCTTCCATAATTATAGCATGAGATTTCAGGACCATTGTCGTCAACATTTGTGTTTAGTGTGTTTCTTCTCAGATGCTCGGCTATCATCCTTTCTGCAATAATTGTTTCCTTCATTCTCATTCCCTTCCTGATGTGCCTCTTCTTTACAACACATTCCATGGCAATAATATACATGTGAAGTGTTTGTTTTCCATGCTTCGCTGCATGCTAGGCACATATTTCCAAGACCAGTCAGCATTCATTCAGTGGTGTGGCCAACATCAAGCTGACATTTACTTAATGCTTTCAGTCACAAACAATGCAAATGTGAACTAGATATCACTCATGTGAACTAGTCAATATGTTTTGTACCTCAGAAGTTTAGTCATGTAAGCTAAATCCATCCAACAACACAAGTCTTACACAAAGTGCTGTGTGTCTGGTCCCTGTGGATGCATCAGACCTAAGCTTTTGTTGTCATCCTTACTGCTTTATTCAGGCGTCAGTTATGATCTTCTGGCACTGTAAGAGTTAACCAGAACATTTCCTAGTAACTATGGTGAATGGGTCAACATTTACAACTAAATTTATTTGTAAAATTAATCTTGTTTGGAATTCTACCCTATGACTACTGAGTCATAGAGGAGTGGCTGGCTGAGGGATTACAGCATTGGGCTCTCATGTGGGAGACCCGAGTTCGACCCCCGGTAAGGTGATGGAGTTTTTCTGTCGGGGGCAAAATTAAACATCCTAACCTGCACAGTCCGTGTCAACAGCACTAGCCAGATGGCTCGATATCCTCAGGCTCAAGTTATCTCTGTCTACACTGGTATAAAAAGTGGTAAAACAGACAGTAGTGACATTTATTTTTTTTAAGTTTTGACAGACAGACTACTGAGTCAACAGGCAAGATTGCTAGCCACCTAGCTACCATTTATTTGTCTGTTTATTTTATAGATTACATTTCATGAAAACTAACAAATTAATTGTAATCAGTCTCCACAAGGAGGAAGGCGACAGTAATGCAAAGTTAGGTTTATACAATGGATTATCATCACGACACAAGAGTATAAACCCATAAGTGCTCTGTTCTACTTCTATCTCAAGTCTGAGTCCGAAAGACACAAGCGAGGATCCTGAAATACTTTGGGTAGATTTTTAACTCCAAATTTGGTCAGGCTACTCTTTTCAATTTTCAACTGCCAAGGGACTTTTTTACTTGTGCAGCAATACACTCTGGGGTACGATCTTATTACCCAGTGACCTGGAAACATTACTAGAAGTCCACGTGAAAAAATCCTTTGTCTACACCGAATATTACCTTGATGTGTCCTACCTGCACATTTCACATGACAATGGAGAACTTTTTACATATAGATAACTACAGAAATCTTCATGACAAGATCAAGCAGTCTTGCTGATACAGTCAGCAATGCAAAGATTAAACAGTATTAAAAGTCTATGGTTAAGCTCCTGCAAGGAAATAAAAATAAACATTTTGAGAGCATGCATCTTCCCTGTTGCAGCCCAGGGATGTGAGTCGTGAACTATCTCCCAGTCCTTAAAAAAGAAAATAGGGGCTTTAGAGCTGAAGTGCTATAGAAGGATTCTCAGAATACCATGGACAAAGAAGAGAAGAAATGCTGACATTTTAAAAGATCTGACCATTAAGGATGATTGGCATTTTGTACTTAAAGCTGAAATATGTTGCCCATATCATCCATGGTGGATGGGAACAAATAATAGCAGAAGACATGGTACCAGAAAGGAGTAGCAGGGGCAGATCAACATGAAGATGGGCACAGGATTTAAGTGACTCCTTGAATATGAAAGCCCACCAGGCAGGAAAGCTGGCAAGAGACCGAGGTTTCTTTCAGGCAGACCATGATGAAAATTACGTTCTGCAAAGGTCCTGCTACATAATGAGTCTCCACAATGGAAGTTGGCTAGTGTACCCAAGGCTGTCTTTGGGAATATTACACGATGAAGTCAGGGTGTGACTTTATACCTCTGTCTTAAAACATCAAGAGCAGTTTTTTTTTTTTTAAAAACTTCATACATAAATCAAACCCTGATACTCAAGAATCATGAAACTGTTAAATGTGTTCACATACCTGAAAAAAAAGAGAGTGTGCTATCTCCAAAATGAAGGTTAGCTATATTGTTCCCACTGCTGTCTTTGGAAGTATTGCTTGATAAGGCCCCAAGGTGTGACTCTTATACCAGTGTTTAAACACCACAAAAGCAGTTTTGTCCCCCTTGAGAACAAAAACATAGAAACAATGTTGTCCTGAAGTAGCTGAGAATGAAAAGACAGTCACAACACAACAACAAAATAGACATGCAGAATTCTTTGGCTATATTAATCGTTTCGCCCCGAGATGTCACAAAACTGATACTTTCAGTTAGGTTCAGTTTCCTGTTAATACCACCCTTTAAAAAAACTTTTAAGTGACCTGTTTACGAGATGCATAAATAAGGCTACTGGCTGTTTTTGCACCTGTGCAACACATTGAGGAGGTCAGAATATGAATGCATTAAGGGGGTTTTCCTTTGAGCCAAATTGTTGGGTTTTTTTTAAAGTCAAGTTGTGGTAAAATATGTTCACAAGTTGCATTGATAGACATATCAGGGCTGCTGAATGAGAAACAGTAGCCTAGTTTCTGATAAGTGAGGACAATTATTATTACTACAAATACTCTTTATTTTAGGTGTCTAGTCCTGCATCGTCAGAGAAGCCAAAAGTGCTGGACTAGATTCCATCCATGATATCAAAGTGCCTGCAAAGGATAGGCTGTAAACTGACTGCGAGCCCTATGTGATATAAAATGACAAAATAGGATAATGAGTGCATGAAATCCTGTATTTTCAGAAATTTTCAGATATAACATTTGATGCTAGCTTTTAGGAAAATTGTGTTTAAATAAAACTCTTTGAAACTTCAGGTGCTTTAATAATATCCTACCCCAAACAGGGAAAATCCACAGGTCATGGGACAATCTTATATTTTAGAGGGTGGTAGATAGGCTGCATGCAGTCGTGGGACCTAGGATGCATGCATTTGTGGGACCTAGGCTGCACTCTCTCGTGGGACATAGTTGGGTTGGGGTTAGGGCCAGTTCTAGATGTTTTGGGGTCTTAAAAGCATCAGAAAGCCAGGAAACCTAGTCTTACCACCCTCTAAAATGTTGGACTGTCGTGTAATGTCATCTGGTGTACGATATTAATAAAGAACTAAATTTCAACTTTCCTTAGAAAATCTAGTCAGTAGATTTCATGAAAGTTTGAAAACTATCAAAATGCTGTGTAAAGTGTTACATTGCTAATTTATATAAGCAGATCTTATAGTAAACAGATGATAATTACTTTTATATTATGTAGTCTTCAATGCATTTGTATTACATAAACAAGTAATTAACTTTATACTGTTAAAGATTTAATCAAGTATGATGACTTCTATGCCTTTAAAAGCGCTGTGCCCTCAAAGGCTAACTTTGTAGTTTTTGAACTTCATTACTGTCAGGTTTTCCTTCTTTTTCTTCTTCGCTTTCACCAGGTGTAACCTGGTGGAAAGTTCTCATTGCTCATCCACTTCTGGACTTCAGCCTTGTTCCAGAATTTGAATTTTGCATGCACAATCATTTTACATGCAGATGGTTCGTTGCTCGCCTCACAGGCAGATGCACTTAGACTTTTCTCCACTCTTAATTAGTTGGCATTTATTACATGTTTTTTTAGGAGGCATAGGGTCTATTCTTTATCTCCCTGTACTGAAGAGTCCACACAGGGCATATTTGGCTTTAAGTATCCTGAATTAAATAACAACACAAAATAGTTTTCACAAATTTTTGACTCTTTTTTGTAATTGTCACTATATATTCAAAACACACTATTTGTAAAGGAAAGTAGTAAGATAAATTATCAAATATATGTATATTTATTTAAATACCATTACATTAAGTGCCTCCTAATTTAGCACACATACAAATATTTAAAAAAAAATTAAATTTAGAAGATTAATCTTTGAATGTGCCATATATTTATGTATAAACTTTATCAATTAAAAATCCAGTATTATATATATATATCCAGTGACTATTGCACTGAACATTCCAGCCAATCTTCGTAAGCTTACATTTTCACTTCAATATCTCTGTCACATTTCATTGATAAACTAATACATTGGCCACCTGTAAAGGAAGTCCCAAGGCACACACTTCTGTTAGGGTGTACATTGTGAAACCTCCACATATTCTTGATCCTAAAATAATGAGGCTGGATAGCTAGATTTCTTCCTCACAGTGTTTCCATTCTAGAAAATATACATTTTTAATTGATGTTATTCAAGCTTTATTTCTTCTTTGGTCCTACTGCATTGCAGAGGAGTTAAATGTAGTTGCATATCTTTTTACAGTTGCATAGCCTGCATTAATGTCATACTGGGTTTTTGTAGGGTCTTTCATTCCCTCAACCCATCTTTTTCTTGGTCGACCTCTTGCCTTGTAGTCTGCTGTTCTCTTCATTGGTGACTCTATCTCTTCTTCTTGTTTTCACTGTCTTTCTTATTCATTTCATCACATGTGTAATTTTGCGTTTGTTTTTCTAGGATTGTCCATGTCTGGCATTGAGAGCACAAAGTTGGTATGAATATTGCATGCACTTATTAGCTGCTTTTGTGTGTGCATTTATTCAGACCTCTAAGCTGTTATATCACAGCTACTTTCTTTGTTGGATAATATGTTTTTGGCTTTTTGATAGACAGTCGTTCACATTACTAAAATAAATT